CTGACGAATGTCTGCAGGGAGAAACGGTCTGCCGTGTCGTCGTACTGGTAGTACAGCTGCACGCTGCAGAGCTTGCTGAACGGAACTTGTCCACTCCGCTTGAGCAGCATCTATATCGTTCTCATCATCTATGATCGGGATATTGGGGAACTCTCTAAGGAGCGACTTGTATAGCTCCCAATCAACCCTTTTCCAAGGTTTGCTCATTACCCACCTCCAGTACGATAGGAAGATGATCGCTCGAAATGTCATACATGATTCGAGAAGTGACACTGAATCTACAGTTTCTAGATATCGCGAAGTCAATGACATCTGGTGCCTGAAGGTGATTAAATGGGTGGTGAGTCGGCTCCTCAGTGCTTTGTATGAGGTAGCCGTTGTAAAGTCGAATCCCACTGGTGGAATTTAACCTAGAGTGCCATGCTCGATGTTTACAGTTAAAGTCCCCTGCTACAATAAGCGGACCCGAGCAGTCAAACAGGACTTCCAGATCCGTCTCTTGCAGCCTGGCACCACATCTGACATAAACCGATGTGATTTTCAACGAGATACCTCCCGTCATATTCACTACCACCGAAGTTGCCTCGATGCTCTGCATCTCAGCGTTTGTGCTTCTGTAATAGTCAATACCACGTTTTACTAGCACTGCCAAACCGCCACCCCGTCCATTTAATCTATTAGCGCGGATAACATCATCATTCGGGAAAGCTACACGCTCTTCCGGATTAAGCAATGTTTCCTGCAGCAGAGCTACATCGACGTTCTCATCCAAAAGAGCTTGATGAAATTCCCGTTTTTTGGGGACATCCCTAAGACCCAAACAATTCCAGAAAAGAATTTTGATGAATTCAGGCTGTCTGCTATTGTACCTAGCCATTTAGCGGAAAGATCGCCTGCAATGCCTTAGTGGCGCTTATTAGGGGACTAATAATCTGCTGTAGGGACCTGAGCGCTGTAGCTAGATCCACATTTTGAGTAGTCGTAGATGAGCTCGAAACAGCAGGGGCAGTTGCGGTGTCATCTCTTGCTGCGTCCGCGTAGGACTTTGCTCGCCTTTGTGCGATGACTTGTAGATTTCTCCTAGGAGTAAATCTACAGGTCGGACTATTTGCCGGATGGTCCCCCCCACAGTTCGCACATCTGCGAACCTCTTGTCCTGTTTGAGGGCACATATGTGTCATGTGGTCTTGGGCACATTTTAGACACTTTGGCGGCGCAGTACAATACGACTGTGCGTGTCCGTACTTCTGGCAGCGGTGACACTGCCCAATGAGTCGAGAGTTCTTCTGAACTTATCTTATGGCTACTGCTAGTCAGCATAAAAGCGTTGTACCGTTGGATCTCTTTACGTTGGCTGAAGGCTCCCGTTGAATCATTTTATAGGAACCATAAGCACTCGCCCATCCCTACAAAGCAAATGAACTCGGCGAGACGCTCCAACCGGGGTCGAATGTCGATTGCCCGGCCGGCTAGCTGCGATTTGACTTCGGTTTCACTATCGACGTCGTCTGTCGTCTGTTTTCTCGCTGGGACCGTTACCAAACAAAAGAAAAATAGTCAAAGCGATCATGGCCAACTGACTGAACGTATTCAAACCGATGGATTATTTTCTAAACTACGTTCAGCGTCTATTGGAATTATGGAATGACGATCCAGACGGATCGGTCGGTTGGGTTGTTGATTACAGGCTTAAAGACGGGGTAAGGGGAGTGACGGGAGGGCACAATTTTGATGGGCCGCCGCCCCTTGGCCGGGTGCGTTTCTAGTCGAACGGCTGCCGTTCGCGCCAGGGGACCGACCGGCTTGCGTGCAGTGGCGGAACGTATTATTTCTGAAGGGCAATAATTTAATATAGAAATGAAGCCAAGTAGGCGAACTTCTATCTGTGCTGTCAGCCTGTTTAACACCAAACATACCATCACCCGTCAGAAGACCGGTAATGAACTTTAATTAATATTGATTAATATCAACTTATCGTTTTTGCACATTTGACTTCATGATTTCTTCTATTAATCATATTGAATTAATAATCTATTTGTATTATGTTTATTTTGAGTAGTCTACCACAGCCGGTCATTTTACCGGCTACGGAAAAAATAGGTATGTATTAAGTGTTGGTATGTTTAGCGTTAAGATGCATGCATTTCAACCAAAATGTTTTGCTATTTGTCTAAATATTCTGCATAGGCTCCGTAGATGCAAACTCTGGAGTAGTTTCGAAATGTCTATCTTATCGCCTAACAAACAAATCGTGGCGATATTTGTCATTTGAAGGTGTTAAACGTGACACGCCACTTCCTTCGCAGCGCGCTGGCTGTGATTTGATATGTGTATCTGTACAGAGCGGAAACATTTTCCTTCTCTTCGCTTCCATTACCCTCAATGGGCGTGCGCCTTTATGGTCTGCAGCGCCAGCATATGCTATCTTTTTATTCAGCGCATGTCAAAATATACTGTATGACACCGCTCCATAGGTGGCATCTAGGAAGTCTCCTAAAAACGTAAGTGTCTTCGTATGGCACATATGCCGTATGCTGAATAGTGATTCAAACTATAATCGTCATATCTTCTTCTAAAAGCAATACACTCACGAGTGACCACCCTGTGACGCCTTACATGCGCCAGCTCTCTAGCTTACGAATTTGCTGATGATTATGCATTATAAGCGGTTGTGGATTAGGATATCTGTTCGTAAGCTAGCAGAACGTTGAACGAGCTGTAAAGGCCGACATCCACTGCCATCCCAAATGGCTTGAGGTCTTGTCACTTTCATCTCATGTTTCAGGTGTTCTTTGTCTAATGGACCATCCACGCTGGATCCAATATAGAGCAACACAGACCTAAATATTTTGACAAGCCAAGCATTTTGGGTACCTATCTATTAATTGGTCCAAATCTAAGATAGAGTGAATTATAACAAACATGTTCACGTGATCGCTCGGCAACGCTAACTGGTAAATCCGATTTCGATCGCTTAGTCTGCTGTCAGTATTCTACAGTCTATTCAAACCTCATTTTATTCATTGACTAAGAGAACATAAACAGTCGATTGCTTTATTCGCTTGTCGCTACCTGCCCTGACATTTATGCCCGCTGATCAACAGATCCGCGCAAAGTTGAATGTCGCGCGTTGGTGGTTGTCAGGACGGGGCGTAAATAAGATTTGAATATACTAAAATGTATCAGCGTTCGAGTGCCACGCGAGCATATAGTGTATGGCTATTCTTACATCTTCCATTCGCTCTATCTACACAGACTACGTACAGATGCGATTGCTACTGTTGGTCCTAAAAGTACATTAGTGTAGCTAATAATTTGGGCGGTATATTGTTGTTTTCCACGTTCCTATATATCGTACGATAGCTGTTAGTGTAGAAAAATCAGGAATGACTCATCACACACAAATCATTTTCGCAGTGCCTCAAATCTAGGCGCTGATTTGAATCTTCTACTTACCACCGCAAAATAAATTTCTATAAAATTTAAATGACTGGAAATAAAAAATATTGTAAAATGTAATAACCTTTTCACGTTTCATAAATATCCCTGTCTGTAGCCTCACATGTTAGTCGTAATATACTTCACCAACCAGGAATTTGTTTTTAAATCTCTCTCTTTTTTGAAATTCAGCAAAAATGTCGTGCCTAACTAATTTCTACCTTTACATCCCAAGTAAGTGTATTTGAAACAAGAAACCAATGGAATTATCATCAACACAGATTATCAACACACAACTCCTCACTAAGCACATATACATTGCCGTTTCCTTCCAGCTATATAGGATCAAATGATGCTTTTGATTTATATCATCTGTTATATTAGGCTGAAATTTCATACAATTCAAAAAGAAAACATAGCCTCGGAATGGAGAGCGCGGATAGTAGAAATCTAGAAATTCCCCAGCCTTTCTGAAGGAGAGAAAATACTATAAAAATCAAGGAGGCCATAAAGGCGTCCTACAATTGTAGGAACTACTGACAATACGGCCCTTACAGCTTACAATTGTAGGACGCCTTTATGACCTCCTTGACTTTGATAGTTTTCTACTGTTCCGTGTCAGTGCTCTATTTTGTGAATATGTTATGTTATTTTAAAGTTATGTTAGTAATGTCTATTTGCATCAAATTGTTCATGCTTCTGTTTTATATTATGTTATATCAGCCTGAAATTTTGTACAATTCAAAAACGAAACAGCTTCACAATAGGAGAGCGCTGACGCTGACACGAAATAGTAGAAATCTAAAAACGTCCCAACCTTTCTGAAGGAGACAAATCACTATGAAAATCAAGGAGGCTATAAAGGCGTCCTACAATTATTATAGGCAAGACTGACGATACGGCCCTTAGACCCCCAATAATGCCTTCTCTGAAGCAGTTGTTACATTACATCAGAACCTAACCATGATAGCTCAAGTGTCATGATGTTCAGCTACACAACGAGTGCATATCAAGTGAACAACGGCTAGTTCCAAGTTGACATCTTATCGGCAAAGTTATTACTTACGTAAAAAAAGAGATAAAATGTCAACTTCTTGGCTAAGTAGGCTAGTGTGCAAATAGTTCATTCCGCGCTTGCTACAAGTGGGCATGAACTGAATGACAGCAAGGTCCAAGTTGATGTCTTGTAGGAAAACCTACATAATGTCAAAAAACCTACATAATGTCACTTTCAAGTAACGTAATACCCCTGCCGAAAACCCACATTATGTCACAAAAACATTCATAATGTCAAAAAAAACGACATAATGTTACTTTTCAAGATACCTAATACATCTGCCGGTGATAGTTGGAGAGCTGGAAGGTTGCGTACCACTGGAGCATTATGATCGCGTCAACATAAATTTTGTCTACTCTAGGGCACTTATTGGCGGCCTTCCGCGACCTGGCACTCTGTGCATTATCTTAGATCCGGCTCTGTCCGTATAACTAAAACTTTCATCGTTCCTCTATATCCCCAGCCCAATGGATTTCCCCGCCTATGTGCGAGTTCGTCAGCCGGTCGCGTCCGAAGTCGACTCCGACCTCCCTCCCCACGCCAAGCCAGTCCCAGAATGGCGTGGTTTGTGCTTAGGTCGGCCAGCCTGTGACCGCCGAATTTGCTGGTTTCGTTTCGCGCGTTCTGACATCAGGCACCCGCCCAGTGCCCGCGAGACCCATTTTCCATCTGGTTATCACCCCCGAGAAACACCCAACAAAGGAGCCCTTCTGGACGTCCACCTCGGTAGAGAAAGGAGGCATCATCCACGACCACGTGAATGCTGGAATAAGCGGCTGGTACGATATGTGCTTGGACAATAATGACCTCTGAAGTGCCGGATGTGCAAGTGGAGTACGTAGATAGCTCTCCACCGGAACATCAACAGCAAGAAGTAAGTAGTGACTTGGGCGTGGTCAACGTTGCCGTTACCACTCTGACAGGCGTCATAAGGTAGTTTCTTTGTCCTAGAAAAGTAACGTTTTAAAGCTTTTAGCCATAGAGTGTGGGAAAAAAAGGACACAGTTGATAAACTACCAAAAGCATTGTCCCTTTAATACTGTCCGAGCTAAAATTACATAAAAAGCTTGAAAAGCTTTTTTACATGACCGTAACGTGCTTTTGGGCTTAAGGGGAATAAGCTCCTCCTATTATGTAACCCTTGAACAATTAGCACCCTTATGTGCACTCCTACCAGTTTGGAGACCAGTAACACGATGAATGAATTTTTGTTCGTATTATAGATTACAGTTGTCACTACACCTATTTTCAAAACCTACAAACCTTTTTGTTCTATGCCAAAATTTTATCAAAATCCAAGCAAATTTACGAATTATACAGACGTCATGGGTTAGAGCGGCCTGGGCAGTTTTTTCCGCCACCGACCGGAAAGTACGTATTTTTGATCGCAGTCTGACACGCAAATTTATAGTAGTCTAATGATCGATCTCAAATGACAGTTTTGTCGCTCTAGAGCAGTAAGGTAGCAAAAACTACTGGCTCGGTCAAGCTGACGATGGAAAGCTTCCGTGTTGCCAGATGTCATTGTAATGTGTATTAATTTGTAGGTATGGCTTAACAATTTAACAAATATACTTAGCTACCAAAACGGAAGAAAGTAGCTCAACACATCTTACACACCACTGTTAGCGCGGTTCCTGTCGTATTCAAAACACACGGTGTTAGCAGTGGGGTACAATACGTTATGCTAGTCTCTTTCGTTTTTGGTACTAGACTATAGGATATAGGTAAATTGCTGCGATTGTAGAAAAAATTGCTAGCATACATTTTGAATGCAAACTACTCCCACCGCCTTCCGAATAATGGATGAAACCTGTTTCTAGAACAGCAAAGCAGCACTCTCCTGTCTTTATACACAATTAATTTTTCTTCGAAATTCTTTGCTGTTTATAAATAACAGTGCCTCCAAAGTGTACGTCGCCAGCCTTTCTCGGTAAATTTTCTGAGACTGGCGGTCGTTTCGTACATATGGCAACATTGCTTGGGGTGTGGCGCGGAATGCGTAGGAGGTGTCCCCTCTGCCGTCTCCGATACTAGAAGGTGGCAACCGCATCTGCAACGTGGTCCTTCTGGGTGTTCTGCAAGGGACGTCCTCCAATAACACTCCGCACTCGATGGTATTGTTGGGGTCCTTGCTCTTTACACGCACCGCCGATCAACGGAATTTAATCTTTGCTGGTCAACTTGATCACAAACATTTCCTTATCTAATATTATTCATTCTTTGTCCTTATCTCATATTTTCTCATGCTTACGCTGAGCGGCAAATGAGCGTGCCACCAGTGGAGGGGATTTATGAAACAGTAGTGGTGTCAGCAGAAAATCCACTGGGTTGTTAACACCCTGGCACAAGGGCGTACCCGGCTCAAAACGGAAGGGGGGCACCTTCAAAAAAATGTTTAATGGAAGTTCCACAAATCATATCTACATGCTTGATAGCTTTCCTTCTATTTGCATTTCATTTAGATAGTCTTCCACGACGATTTGACAATTCACATGGATATAGGAAACTACTAGGATTACATTTTTGAACCACTCAAGCAGGCATTGGGCGAGATGTGTTTTTTAGTAATATCTACTTTAGTCTTTGCAATACTTGAAAGCAACACTTGAACTAGTATATGTTGTTGTTGAAGATTTATTTAGCATTAATGCTACAATGTCAATTTTGTATAATGATTTGGTTACATATTTTTCTTCAATCCATTTTCTGTAATTTTGTCATTCTTGTCTATTAAAATTAACATTACGTCACTCTGTAGTTTGATTATTCATAAAGTGATTTTTTAATTTCACCTTGAACATTTTTAAATTCGAATTCTGTTTAATATCATTATTCAATTTATTAAATTCAAATACTCCCTTTTTAAATATAGATTTACTAGTTATGCTACTATTATAATTTTGCAGATGAAAGTCTATACTGCCTCTAGTCTCGTAGTTATGATAATGACTATTTAATTTTGTGAAGTTTTCTGAATGTGGTGGTAATAAATGATTTTTTAATTTGAATATGAAAACGAGAACTAAATAATATATGATACTTTTCACATCTAACCACTGGCAGTGCTTCTAACATATCATCCTAGCATATTTGTTTTTATTTAAAATGATTCTCATAGCTTTATTTTGTAGAATTTGTAATTTTGAAAATATGTTTTCATTTGCTGTAAACAAGATGGTTGAACAATATAAAAAATGGGGAAGAATTAAAGTGTTATACACAATTTTTTTGGAATACATACTAAGATTATGAGAAACTCTAAGAAGTAATTTATCTTTTTCGATATTTTTGACATATAGCCGCAAATAGTTTTATGGAATATGTAGAAGAATATGTACCTAGTTTGTTCTAGAATGATTTGAAAAACAAGTTTGTCATATTTTCATCATCTCCGAAATGGTAAGAGACACGGGTCGATTGAATGATGGCAAAGTTGCGAATTTATATATTTTAGAAAATGAATTTGAAAAGTTTCGACGCTTCCAGTATCTCGAGAGATAGATACACGGAAGAGGGAACGAATTTTCCCAAAATTGTTTCTCATTTTTCTGAATTTATTTGAGATAGGATTTCAAAATAAAGCGCATATTGACATTGCCACTTTTTGATGTCTGCAAGGTGGCATAAATAGAACATTAATATAATTTTTCGTCTCTTATCCTCAGTCTCAGTTTCTTCGATTTTCCTTATGTATGACATTTTTGCATAGGCGAATTTGCTTTTAATTCTGATATTCAAATATTATGCCATGTCATACATTTTTATAAAAAAAAATATTTCCTGAGTGAGCCTTGAAATTATCAAAGGTGATAAGATGTTAGATACACATTGATATAAAAGTTCAAATGCTCAACTTCATATAGTTGGTTTAAGCTTATCGTTTGAGGAACAACATAATGTAATTTATGTATATTATTTAAGGAGACATTGAAAATGGTATGATTTTAAAAAAATGAGAGGTGAATCGTCAGATCGAAATTCTAATTATACCACGATGCAGAAGAGAAAAGTGGTACTGTTATTGTGTAATTTGTTTGAAATTCGTAGACAATGTGGATGTTTCAAAAGTTTTGTTTTGGACTAAAGTCAGAACAAAATAAAAATACCGTAAAGTCGGAAATGCTTTAAATTTCCAAACTGTCCAAGTTCCATTTTTTTATCTACCTACTTAACTTGTCCTCCGGGTCGCTTAGGCGAATTTCACAAGATCAGTATTTGCTTTGACCTGTCAATATATTTATCATGAGATGTGATATATATTGACCGTGTAGCCTGGACGTAAGTAATTATTGATGCATAATGGTACGCATTCATCCAGAAATCATTCACCTTTGCCCTATAATGTACTTGTGCATTAATTTTTGAACTGGATGCTATTGTTACATGTTGCCCAGCTTTCAACTCAATAATGTAAGGGCTAAATGGATGGTCTGCTTGCTTTGAAAATTAGGTCCTCTATTCTCGATGTCGAAAACGACAATAAATTTGTCAGAAGTGATAAGAATTCACTAAATTATATGGAATAGAGATCAGAAAAAAGCTTTTACTATGAGCTCCTTATTCCGAAATTTCATTACCAGCCATCGTTTAAATTTTAAACGCTCATACAGGTGATGACATAATTTCAATGGGATGTGGTTCAATAAAAAAAAAAATAGCGTCACATGGGTTGACTATGCACTTCCTATACAACGCTGTCATCAGTTCATACAGGATTAAACTCAGTGCAATTTAAATCCTCCAAGGAAAAATAGAATTAAGAACATGTACAACAGAGGAATTAAACGTATTAAACAGGACCGTATGACTAGTCCACGCCCTACTGATAGTTACTGACCACGTGGCAACGTTGTCCCTCTCCTCATTTGAGCGGCATCGCTGCAGCGAGTTATGTTTCGTTTCGTGCAGAGGCCATCTGTTTTTTGCGTTTCAGTAGGGATGCATATATAAGCCGAAAGGCGAAACACAGGCAGAAGTACGCGAATGGAATACCTTTCTCTATCATGCTGTTTTAAAGGCAAACGTACGGGTAGATCTATGTGTGAAATATGGCTAATAGGTGCATCGAATTACCGGGATTGGGATTGCTGGGAGCAAATTAGAAGAATCTTTATCTATCTCAATTTGTACAGATAGTAAACTAAAACACACGAAAACATCACTTTTTATTTCAATAAGTGCTTTAAAACGGAAGCTTCCAACATAAACAGCAATTCGGAAGATTAGACGTGGCAACAAACAAATAACAACCCGAATTTTTTCCGCATTATTTTCATCAACACAGATATCCTGGGCGAACTGTATTTATTGTTATACCTGTTTAGTTATTTTTGTTGCTAAGGGAAAGAAAGAATTTAATTTGCTGTCAGTTACCTTTGTCACAATCTTGGGATAGTGAAAATTAATTTATTGATTCAGATTTTACTTCCAAAATGGTTTACACACTAGCCGAAAGAGTGGAAATGATTCTAATGTATGGTTACCAAAATTAATGTGCTCGTCAAACTGCCGTCACGTTTAACTCCAGACATCCTGGGAAGATAACTTCGCATAGGTATGTTTTGGACCTTGCTACTAAATTTACTCAAACTCATTAGGCTCTGTACACACAGTTACTAAACTCCATAAATTTCATCCATTCAAAATGAAAATATTGCAAGAGTTAACCGAACACGATTTCGATAGGCGAGTCGAGTTTTCCATGTGTGAACATTCATGTAAAGAATATCTGCTTCAGTGATGAATGCACATTTTATCTAAATGGATTTGTTAATAAGCTTAACTGCAGGTATTGGAGCAATGAAAATCCTCATGCTTTTGTAGAAGGCCATATCCAGTACCCCCAAAAAAATAATGAATGGCCAGGCATTTTAGGAAACAAAGTGATTGGGCATTTGTTTATTAATGGAAATTTGAATGGATGCATTTATTTGGATATGTTGGAAAATCCCAACAATCCGCTTATCACTGAAACCATTGAAAACCAAATCGAAGAGGATGGAAACCATATGTACATACTTGATGAGGCTGAAATATATTTCCAGCAAGACGGCACTCCTCCTCACTATGCTCTTCCGGTTCGGCAATGGTTAGACAACGAGTTTCCAGATAAATGGATAGGGCGAACAGGGCCTACAGAATGGCCTGCTAGATCTGCTGATTTGACGCCATTAGAATTTTTTCTATGGGGTCATTTGGAATATATCATGATTACTCCCCAACCTGAAAGTTTGGATGTACTTCGTAAACGCATCATCGAAAGCTACCAGAATACCTATCCCACGACATGTTTTTCAAAATATCCGTCAGGAATTTGAACATTATTGTTTGGCCAATAACGGACAACACTTTGAACACTTATTGAAATAAAAAGTGATTTTTTCGTGTGTTTTTGTTTTCTATCTGAACAAAAAAATAGAGAAAGATAAATTAACATTTTTCTGATTTTCTTGAAACCGAATCGACCGATTTTAAAAAATCAAACGTCAAAATAAAGGACTTCGGAAGACCTTTCAAACAAGCTATTACTCGATACCCCTTGCCATTTAAAATTTTTAAGGGGATGACCCTGGGGGGCAGAGGGTGAAAGGGGGTGAAGTAGTTTTTGGTTAAAAAGTTGTCCCCCTTGACAAATCTGAATAGTAATAGTAACCTTGTGTGAAAACTTCACCAAAATCCGAGCGGTACTTCTCAAGTTATAGGGGGTTATAAAATCAGCGGGCATACCGACAGACAGACTGACGAACGGAAATGAGTGACATAGTTTTTCGTGATGTACGTTCCATATAACGTCCAAAAAAGATCTCAATTTCGAAATTCTTCGCGATTACAATACTTTCTCGCCAGTTTTGGCATAAGAAGTAAAAACAGTAAAAAAAACTTCCGTGATTAATAACACGAAAATTACGTGTTTCTGAGGATGAGCCTTTGGCAATAATACGAAGGCAATGTCCTTGAATTCATTTTTTATGCTTTTTCTTATTCTGTGACACTTTTGTCTGCCCTTTTGATAGCCCTATCAGCCAAGGACGTAATTAAGCATCTGTATGGCACATGGTATGGAAGCACTGGGTTTTAGGGTCATATGGTTCCAGGTTCATTTCAAGGAAGAGCATGACACATGGTGTGGAAGCACTGGGTTTTAGGGTCCTATGGTTCCAGGTTCATTTCAAGGAAGAGCCCATACATTATTGAGGAGCAAAAATTATCCAATAATAAAGTATATTCCCGTGTGCGTTTGGGGTCTGTTTGCAGTGCCGACTTCACTTTTGTGTAACCTGAGGCCAAGGATGAAATATGCGCCATTCCCCCCACATCAATTGAGATCAAGGGCGGATCCAACCTTTGAGTCAGGGGGGGTTACTTAATCACAGTTGCTGTTTAGAGAGGGGGCGCAGTGGTGATCGCAGTATTCATATTCACAAAGATATTCGTCTTGGGGTATCGGCAAATGAAAATTGGCTCAGCCTCAACATTTGTGCTTCTAAGAGCTAATGCCTCTCTAATAACTGAGAGGGGAGGTCGGTATCGATTCGACCAGTGGGGGATCATGACCCCCTGGATCCTCCCTTGATTGAGCATTTTGCGCCTCCCATGACACTGCGCTCTGAGGCTGTCCCACTTGCTTGCTGCCTGTAGCCGGTCCTGGCTGTTTGAACGATGCTCTGATGTAATACGAGGGCGGTCCGATTACTACTCAGTCTACAAAAGGAAAATGAACATTTTAAAAAAGTAGCGATTTATTTCTGAACATAGTCTCTTTTCAGCTCGATACACTTGAACCAGCGACGCTCGAGTTTCTTTAACCCGTCTAAAAAATACGTTTTCTGGAGGTCTGCAAAGTAGGTTGTGTTTGTTGTGCGGAGTGAGAAAACGCAGAACCCATCGCGCAGACAGCTTTCTCATGCAGGATATAACCCACGCGGTCTTTCAAGATGTCCACTGTCTCAGCTATATCGCGGGTCTTTAATCGGCGGCGGTCACGTTATCCTCCGTGGCAGCTGTTTTCGGGGCACCTGGGCGTGGCTCATCAAAAACCGACGTGCGACCACGCTGAAACTAGTTAAACCAATTTTTAACGCTCTCCATCGAAGGAGAAGAGTCACAGTACTCAGCATCCAAGCGCTCTTTGATTTCGCAGAGCGATTTCTCTTCCAAAAACCTCCACACGCGGTCAAAACAAAACTCCGATTCGGTTGAGATTTTGAATGCAGTCGTCTACGAGAATGTACTACACGATATTGCATCGTACGCCCCCACTGATCATATATCTTCCCTGGTCTTACAGAGGAACCTAGCTCTCCTTCTTATTGGCACACACCTTTTCACTCAAGGCTACCACTTGATAAACTATCTTATTAATTTGTTTTTTTCTGTTCTCTTCTTTTAGGAGTCCACCGATTCACCAAGTCAGCCTCCCGCTTCAAGCTCGGGTCCAACACCTTCTCCTTTGGCATTGCTCGCAGCCACTTGCAGCCGCATCGACATGATGGCAACCTCGCAAGGAGCAGTCAAAACGCAGCAGCAGCAAGTACAGCAGCAACAGGCTGCTCAGCAACAAGCAGCAGCTCAGCAACAAGCTCAGCAGCAGGCGCAACAGCAGCAACAGCAACAACAGCAACAGCAAGAAGTCAAAGGTGTCACAGTGACGGGAGGTACTCCGCAGGTATGTACAAAAATGGTAAATCGAAGTAAGGGCGCGCAGCAGCATGATATAGGCAAGCAACAAACAATATACAGGGAAAGCCAAACTTGTCTGTCAGCTTGAGTTCAACGTGTACGAGAGAGAAGCGCGAGAAGTGTGTATCAACACATGTTAGAAAGAGATAGAAGCCAGCTGACGAGGTCATCACTACATTGCGATGACGCAGAAGGTCGTGCAATCTGCCGCGTGGCCAATAAGTTATTCCAGAAAATTCTTTTAGAATTATCTTTGATTTCCACCTATGGTGATGAATCAACACATCCTGAGTTATTGTTACGCAATACAAATTATCACTGTCAGCGTGAACGAAGGTGAAAGCTATTTCGAAGCAGGACGACCCTCCCCTACGAGCGCTAGATGGGTGCTGACCAAAATCACTATCATGGAGGTGGAAAACTTGCCTTGGAATGTTTAAGATGCGGTGTTATCAAATGAACCAATGATGTAATGTTGCAGAATTTATGGCGATCCTAACCTTTCATTTCTAGTAAAATGAAGCGCCGTTTGGACCGATTCTGAATCCATCTTAAATAGGATTGACACAATTCAGAATTCAAAAACGTGAACGCTTCAAAATAAAACCATTATTTGAGCGGAGATAATGAACTACCGCATATTTTCAACATGCATCTAAGGCAATGCAGTGATGAGCTTCGCTATCAAGCCGACTTCTATCCCTTTCTAACTTATGTGCCTATACGCACTTCTCCCTCGTACACATTCAAATAAAGCCGTCAAACAAATTTGGATTTCAGTGTAGACAATTAAGCTCGAGCATCTTCTTGCTAACAGTTGCGTTTGAAAGGTAATTTATTTTTAAGGATGACATAGAATGTCAAGTACGGTAACGGCAACCTGACATTATTTTTTATATTTTTGATATTTAAAAAATGAAAAATTATCAAGGTTGAAATTTTTATTATGATTTAGTTCGTGCGTTACTAAGTAGAAAAATATAATTGTAAGGGGTTTACGACTCTGCTAAATACCTGCCAGGCGAGTCGAAATGTGTACAATATACAACGAAATCCATATACATACTATCCGTCAGAAAGAACGCATGTTTTTTTAAGTAAGTAGTACAGTCAAAATAGGTATGTGAAAATATTCTATTATATCAAAATACTCAGAAATAAATGAGTAAAACAAAATTTATGTTCTAAAAACTATGTCGGCCATATGGCGCCCTTGAGCCGAAATGCAGGAATCAAGCCTCTCCCGAAATGAACCCATTGCGTCGGTCAGCACCCGTGCAAGAATTTGGGTTACTTCTCTTCTTATTTCGTCTTTCAAATAGACGAGGATCCGAGGCTTGCTTTGGTAAACTTTTGATTTCAGGTAGCCCCATAAAAAAATCACACATTGACAGGTCCGGGGAGCGAGAGGGCCATGGAATATCGCCGGAGAGGCTTGATTCCTGCATTTCGGCTCAATATCGTAGTTTTTAGAACGTAAATTTTGTTTTACTCAAAATAATGGCATGTATTTCTGAGTATTTTGATATAATAAAATATTTTTCCCATACTTGTGTTGACTATACTACTCATTTAAAAAACATGCGTTCTTTCTAACGGACTCTGTATCACTGCAATCGTAATGTGTACGAAAGAGGAGCGCGAGAGAGAGAGAGATTTTCACAGTACAGGCCTCACATGATGGAAATATTTGTCATTTGCTTGTCTGGACGGTCCGTAGGACCTTTGCCCATTTGTCACTGTCTAATGTACGTTAGTCAAATCTGTCAGTCCTGGTTGCCCTGACACCAGACAATGTCAAGGGAAAAGAAGAAAAAAAAAAGAAGAGCAAAGAAAATAGAAATGAATCAGTTTAAGGGGAAACACTTAAGCTTTCTGACTTGTTACGCGGATTAATTTTGAGGTGAACTAAAAACAAATTTTGATTCAGGCTTTATTAGAGTGTACTTTTGGGTTCACCAAAAGTGAGCGCTAATTTTTTGATCACATTGCGAGCCGTGGCCTTGAATGTTTACCGACTTTCTCCACTGTGTAGTCTACTGAGTCACGCAACAGAGTGTTGCTGTGCGATTCCGCTTGGCTGTAACGTCGCTGTGCCTGAAGCTTGGCATAATCCCTCAAGTAAGGAATGTCAAGGTCTCTGTGCAGTATCTCGTTTGAGACATATCATGGAGCGTTGCAAATTGTTCATAAAGTTCTGTTCTGCAGTACTTGAAGACTTTGCATGTGCGTCTTGGCAAGAAAACACCAAGCCGCAAATGCATAAGTAATGGCTGGTGTAATAATCATTTTATATAGTCGAACTTTGTTTATTAAACTCAATTTGTAGGATCTACATAACAAAGGATATAGTTACCGAAACGCAATTTGGAATTTTGTTTTCAACGCTGCTGTATGTTTCTGCCAGACCATGCCTTTATCAAGGGTGACACCGAGGTACTTAGCAGAATTTGTCCATGATATACGATTTCCGTCTATCGAAACCTCGGCAGGGGGGCCGCGACGTCTTTTGGTGCAATAACTAGCCTTCGTTATCGAATGATTAAATTTAATCAGAAACCGTTCCGCCTACTCTAGTACTTCGTGAACTTTGTGAACCAGATCACCAGTAAACGACTGGGCCACAATGTCGTCATCGTAGAGGTAGACTTCTCAGTTGCTGGGGCAAGGGACATCATGGATAAAAAGCGAGTAAAGGATTGGTCATAAGACCGAGCCCTGAGGAACACCGGCCGTATTGGCCGTGTTGTTGACAAAACGTTGATAATTTTGGTCCGAAACTTCCGCCTTTCAAGAAAGGATTTCAGTAGTTTTAGAAGCCAAGAGTCCATAGAAAACAATTAGTGCATTTGGTCCGGCAAGGTCGCATGAACGCGATCCAATACAATTAACACAAATTCATAAAAGGCTGACCGGTGAATACACTATACATGCGATTATAAGAATATAGCATTAAATCATTGTTTTTTTCTTTATCTATATATAATGAGATGATATACTGCCGTGCTAAGCCGAAAGGAGGTATCTGCACCTAGCATGAAATCGAGAAAAAGGCGTCCAAAGTTTGAACCTCTGATTCATTTGTACAGATACGTCAAACAAAAAGGTGGGATTCTGAGAAAACTATTGTATGTTATGGCCAAAAATCTGAGCTGACGAGTAGAGCAAATGACACTGATTCACATGGTATCGATATGCCCCAAAATCTGCTCCGCAATGTTATTTTTTGGCGTTTTCACGGTGAATGTACTTAAAATAATCAGTAGTACAAATCATTTCAAATTTGGTGTTTTTAACTATGGCTCGTATATCCACCCTTCGTACGTTTGCGAATGCGTAAATTCGCGAAAGATGCCAAGACTATCATAGGCTATATCAAAGGAAGATTATCGAACATTATGAATTCCTAGCTCTATGTACAAAGATCTCAAAAAAGCCATTTATATAAAATTACTATTGTAGATTTTGTTCATAGGTGGTGAGCGTACCAGTTGGTCTGCAACAGCAGCTTCAGCAACAGCTGTTACAGCAGCAAGCTGCAGCTGCTCTGTCTGCAGGGAATCTTGCCTACAATGTGATGCAGCCGATGCAAACTATCACTGTTGATGGACAGGAAGCCCTGTTCATTCCAGCTATGTCTTTGGCAGCTGCCAGTAAGTGTTCTTTACATATTATATTCTCCAACTAACACATTAGTTTATAGTTTATTAATGCGTGTGCGTAGGAATCTTTCTCAGGGAGAGCTATATCATGATTGTGTACCAGCCCCAAACAAAAAAATTATAAAGCGGGGCCGTAGCAGATTTTCTGGGAGGGGCCAAATCTTAAATATGATACACTAAGCAATTCCAAATACCCAAGATTCTTAGGAGAGTCACAACCTACCTGGCCCTCCTTTTCGGGCGCATGAGGTCTTATTAAATCAAGGTTTAAAATCCCATAGAAGCATGTTTCATATAAATACTAGGTCTGCAAATTAAGTGATTTTTTTTTATTGAATTATTATTACAATTTTATATTGTCACCACCAAAATAACTTCCTTCTGAAGCCACACAACACTGGACACGGTTCTTCCACTCCTCATAGCAGTTCTTGAACCCCGATACTGGAATAGTCTTCAGCTGGTCGGTTACAGCCGTTTCAATGTTGTCGACTGTCCCAAAGTCCCAAAATGAATTCCCTTGAGGTGATTTTTTAACTTCGAGAAGAGAAAAAAGTTACAACGACTCAAGCCAGACGAATGAGGAGGCTGACGAGCCATAGGAATGTTTTTACTGCCCTAAAACTCGTTTATTGACATTTCTGTGTGACAAGGAGCATTGTTGTAATGCAACACCCAGTTGTCGATAGCACACCGTTACTTGAAATTGATGTCACTCATTTTTAGAACTCGATATAAAAAAAATGTTTGACAAGAAAAATCGCTACCGTCAACGAAATTACTCGAGCGAGTTAAAATTTATACTGAAGAGTAAAGAACGATCGTATAGTGGATACCAAATAAAACCCGATGCACGTCATCGATCTGGAGCTGTGCGCTGTTGCCAGAATTTGCACATTTTCTTTTAAGCAAATAAATTTTTATATATACCTACCATTTACTATAATACCATTATATTAAAAATAAATAAACTTGTTGTAAAATTAAATTCCTTTCTGAATAAAAACACCTGATTTGGTAGATATTCAAAAACACAAAATATTTAAAGAACATAAATTGTTTTCTCGTATTTTAATTAATTTGATTATTTATTTATGATATGGGAACTACAACACTTTTTCAATTCACATCAAAAAGAAGAAAGAACTCGGGTGATGCGATGTTACACAATACCGGCAACTAGCGGCAATGAGTACTCCTTATCGAGCCTGATATTAACCGCATGGTATGGTTCAGTTGTATATCAATTCCGGAGTTTGATTACATTATACAGAATATATTTTGATGTTTTAACTATTCTGAATCACTGGAATCAGAGTCATCGTTAACATGGATAATAAGGGGAAGAATTTCCTGTCTATCCATTACTTGTTCCCTTCTATACCATTTCATAACTATCTCCTCTGTATGTCTAATGGAGTTCTTCCACATATCAGGGGTAATAGTTTGGAGTGCCTCTTGCCACATTTTTAGGCAGTCATTTTCAGTGTGGCCATCTCTTCCAATATGCCGATTATAGTAATCTTTAATTAGCTCAATTGGGTTAAAAATACAGTGGTATGGAGGTAACCGTAAAACTTTATGTCCATATTGTTCTGCCAAGTTATCGACCACATACATTTTGGTTGGTTTATTCCCAAAAAAAAAATAAATAGGAACAAAATGCATAAAGATTGGGTATTCTGCTCACTGTGCAACAATCGTTAAAAGTTCAGATTTGAATGCTTCATGTGGATACTGTATTTTTTGTTCAGTTAACCAATTTCAGCCTTTCTCCATGAGCTATTGGGAGTTTTTACTAATAACATGCTATGGTATGATGCATTATCCATAACAATCACAGAGGGTTGGGTCAAGCTTATTAGTAATTGATTTTCAAACCAATATAAAAAATTTTGCTGGTTCATTTCACCATGGTAATCATTAAGCTGGGTTTTCGATGAAAATATGAGCGACGCACCTTCAACAAATCCATTTTCATTGCCAGCGTGAACTATGATATACCCACAAATGCATTTCATTTTTATATAGAGCTTATTTTTCTATACATTTGAAAGCCCACCTTTTTCCATCAGCTTTGGTACTTCTAACACTTCGCTTGGATACTTTACACCACTTCACAGTAACTGTTGTTCTGAAAAGAACAATTTTTAATTGGCAAGGCAACGATTCAAAGCTCAATTAGCGCAAAACTCACAAACTAAACAATAAAGAACTAATAGTACGACAAAAGGACAATGGCAACTGATGTCAACAAATGAGAAGTGGCAACCTCACATTTCTCTGTACGGCACTACCAACCGAATCGAGACGGGGAAATTTAAACTTCAAGTAGAAATGTCACATTGAATGTAGTCAACTGTTGGTAACCATGATTTTTATGAATGACATCACCTATGACGTGCATCGGATTTTATTTGGTATCCACTATATGTTCCCCTGTCTCCCTCTGGGCCCGACGCCTCCAGTGTTGCCAGATCGAACTCTACGTTGTCAGTCTCTTCACTTAATTTACAGACCTCGTATACGTAATCCTATACACTTGTAAGATCACAAAATTATATGCCCAGTGAGAGAATGCGAGGAACAAGATATCGGCACACCTCTGTCGGTTTCTGCGCTACCTATCGCCGTTTATCATCTTCCATTCTTTTGCTAGCTGGATAAAGATCCTGTTCTGTGAAAAGGAATCGTGATTTAAATGAAAACCCGTTTAATTGGTGCTTGGACTGGGTCCCAAACGACCTTTATTCTACCGCAAATTCGGCCCCACGACATTTCAGAATTTTTTTATAGATTCGAATTCTGCGCCGCAGGTTACCAAACATATCGAGTTTCGAAATTTTACGTGACAGAATTATATACTTTTATAAGACGATGAGAAAATTGTTATCGTTGTGGCGAATGTTGCACGATCAGCATTTTCTGTGATACGACAGTATTTATTATGGAATGTGATATTTGTTGACGTGTAGCCTGGAAGTGAGTATAAGATTATTTAAGTAAATACTGATCGTTTAACGTTGTTTTAAAATAGGGAATCTGGATGAAAATTCGCTCCTTGGGTGATAATCCGATATAGCTCGACGCTTTGGTCGACAGGGTATCCCATAATGCATTTCTGCATAACATTGTCCTTTGAAGTACGAAGGATAACACTAAATATCGTAATTGTCTTAAACTGTCAACGGAAGTTACAAATTCGAGCTTTGTCTTTCTTTCTAATCTGACACCAAGCGACAAAAATACCGAGTCAACCTACTTGACGAGGCATCTTCACTTAAAAATAGGCGCAATTAACATTTGTATAGACGAATTTGATACCTTTAGTTTGTAATACTACAATGAGGACGTACTCTATTCATGATAATACCCACACTGTAATAAAATCATTGTAGCATAGCCAACGTTTTCTCGTAATATGTATTAAACAAAAAATTGACCTGCTAGCAAATCTACCCTCTGAACGAGCTCCTAGCTCATTCCCTCGAATGTGTTCCCTCCCCTTTAAGGCCAGGTAGTACCCTAAGATCCCAACCCTCGTCGACGGTCCATAACCACACACATTTCCTAGAAAAAAAAACGGTAGTTTGAAGCCGGCAACGAAAGCAAGCCAAGTGTTTGTCTATTTATACGAGTATTCGAGAAGACGCTGCATGTATTGATAAAACTTTCGTGGTTCAGTACACAGCATTTTCGCTAAAATCATATACCTTTGCTTTAAGTTTTATAGACTGTATCAGATTTAACATGGTTGAGGTGGAAAGCGTTGAAAATAGTAGTAAAGAAAAAAATGAGAAAGATAGACAAGCAGACGCGAATGAAAATTCGGAAAAAAGTGTCGTTGTGACGGTTCCGGATAGTGTGGATGGTGAAAAAAATGTGGTCAGTGCTGTTGAAGTGTGTGGATACGTAACTTTGAATGAATTTACTTCCCAGCTAGTCGTTGAAGGTAAATTTTGGCTTATCTGTGTTTACTTCTAATAGTCTAGGAGAAAACGCATTTAACTGGCTTGAGGGGATTTGGGCATGAAAGGCTGTGAAAAATAAAGGCATTTTGATAAACATACAATAATACAGAGGCGATGGATATTTGTTCATAGAAAGTAACGTTGACATCCAAAAAAGACTATTATCCAGATAGTAAACCGGTTTTGGGTCAACTTTTTTCTGAAAAAGTTTCCGTTTTCAATGTAGAAAATTAGAGGAATCCTGTCTGTATGTTTCTAACAGAGAAAAACGAAATAGAAGAAGACAGTGAATAGACAAGGCTAATTTGTTTTTTGATGTTTCAAAACACGTCGCTTATCGACTCGCCAGATATTAAAATCAATGATTTTACGATTTACCGCTATCATTCATTAATATCATTTTGTGGTTTCAGGCAATAAATGTTAACAAGTAATGTTCCATTTTACAGGTGGACAACAGCCACAACAGCTATTCAGTCCTGGTCAAATTATCCGGGCGCCAAGTGTCTTGCCAGCAAATATCCAAAATTTGCAGAATTTGCAGAATCTTCAGAATTTATCTCAAACAGTTCAACTTTCCAATGGCCAAAGTGTCACTGTGCGACCTTCAATACCTCAAATGGTAAGCAATAAATTTTACTAAATCTTTCTCTCCATTGTATTGAGTAACTTTAAGCTGTGAGTCAGTATACTCTAACATCTGAAACTTATCCTGTGGTTTTCATGTTGGTGATCCCCATGTTTTTCTGGCCAATGAAACCACATATATTTGAAATTTTTCTTTAATGTACCTACTAAATGTTTTGGTCACAACAGTGACCTTCAGTACATGACACTTCTGACAATATCTTATTCATATCTTCCAGGTAAAACTTTCTATTTGCAAATTCCTATACAGTCTGAAAGGTCCGCAACATGCTAAAGCATCACTCCAAATTTTAAAATGATGCCACCACGCAAAACCAGCGTAGACCGCCTGGGGTAGTAGGCATTCCTACTCCCCAAAGGACGTTGAGCCCCCCAAAATGACAAGCTAGCATGATGTTAACTGTCAATTTTTCAGTCTACCAGATACGTCACCCTCGTCCATCGTTCCGAAAACGCCAGAAGCCTTTCAAAAAACGCGAAAACTCAGCCACTGTTGTTGTAAGACACCGGCTAATTGTTATCCAATGTTCGACAAAAATATTGCAACTGCATTGTCGAAGTGCTATCTCGCGTTTAAGATCCGTAAACAAAGAAGAAAGAAAAACAAAGTGTCACCTGTAAGACAGATAATTAAAATATTGCCTAAAGGGTCTGAAAAAGGACACTGTTGTGACCAAAACGTTTAATACATTAAAGAAGAATTTCAAACATGAGCGGTTTCACTGGCCAGATAAATATGGGGGATTATCAGTATACTCTGCTTTCAACATTGATGTTGTAAGAAGAATCAAGAGGTTTAGATTTTTTAACTCAATCTTTCTGTTACCAGTAAGGATTTTTGTACTAATAGGCAGTTGTGCAGTCACAAAGCTTGTATTCAACTGCATTATAGAAATGTTTTTATTTATTTTATTCATTACAACACCCTACAGTAAATACCAATTACAGGGTGAGGAAACACAGAACATAATACAGATATAAAAGACAATAATAAGTAATAGACTACAAAGTGTAAAAGATACATGCTGGTTACTTAATGGTATTTTTTATGTCTGCAATTCTGCAGTTAAATATATCAATCCCGTTACTTGCAGAATTGTAATTCCTACACATCACATGTAAAGGGGAATAGTGTAAATAATTTGTCCGAGCCGCAGGTAAATAAAACGTAACGTTTTGTCGGGATGTCAGCCTAGGTACGTTAAATGATAAGTGACCCAAGAAAGCTAAATCATCACTAGCATTATTGATCAATTTAAACAGGAGAATCACTGACTGGCAAGTGCGCCTTGCTACAAGACTGCTGATTAGATGTTTTTCAAGTAAGGAATGATGAGGTAAACCTATGGGCGGGTAAACGCCATCCACTTTCAGTGACAAATATTTTGAGAAACGTCTTTGCACACATTCAAGCCTACTTATATGAATAATATGATTCCAAATTAGCAATGCATACTCAAGCTTCGACCTAACATATACATAATACAGCAACTTCAAGGTGGTACTCTGAGTGAAGTCACGGCAGTTTCTTACAATAAAGCCGTACATGCGGTTTGCCTCGGAAATTTTGCTGTCAATGTGTTTGACGAATGTTAGTTGGGAGTAAAATGTCACGCCTAAGTCACATAAAGTTGAAGTCCTCTGAATAGAGGTACCTGACAGGGTGTAGTCAAATAACAGAGGATTTTTCTTCAAAGTGTAAGACATTACGTAACATAACATGTTGCCCTGCAAATTCAGGTTTTCTATGAGAATATTTTCAAAAACACCTCCATATGCGTGATCTATACAACAACATGGAGTCCATTAGATTGACTGCACTCCCCAAGCAACACTGTCATCAGTTTATAAAGGATTATGTTCTGCCTAAGTTAGTCCCTTTGAGCTAGCTCAAGATAGTCAAACAGGTCCATACAATAGAGTCTTTCCCTGCCCTACTGATAGTGCACCTAGAAACATTGCATCTCCCCGATACCTAACTCGGGCAGACGTGTTATGTCGCTCTGTTAAATGTAGTAGCATGTGTAATTTCAGTTCACTTTTTATTCAATTCATAAAAAAATGCCGAACCTTTCAGAAGAAAATGCCCCACAGACCATTTTACCGACTCAAATAGAATGAAGTAATATAAATAAATAAATAAAAATAAATACATTTATTTTCCATACGACTATACAATGATAGTATCGGAATTGTCATTAAGGAATAAATTTAGTTGCTTCACAAATAGTATCTTGTCATGTATAAAATGAACAATCATTATAAAAAAACAATACGTAAAATCTCACAAAGGAAATACAAATTTAATAGAGAATCGCGCCCGACGAAATACAAATTATAAGCAACCGTGGTAAAAAAATAAATCACATATGTTATTCAAAAACACTAAAAATATTCCGAAACGCTATATAGACTGGATTGTTCAACATAATGTCCTTAACTTTTGCGTAAGTTGTTGTACCCTTCATGGAATACAAGTGGTTATAAAGTCTTACTGCTAAACTGTGGGATCTTTGGCCGTCAATGATAATCTATGGTGAGGAACAACTACATACGTCGCGTGAATAACGTAGTCCGTAGCACTTGATTTCTTTTCTATTGATAAGATTTTCTTTGGTGTAAATTACACGTATATAAAGAGTGAACTGTAATTATCCCCAATTGTTTGAATAACTTTTTGCAATAATAACGCCTGCATCTGAAAGACGTTGTTCTCAATATTTTTTTCTGAATGACAAATAGTTTGTTAATAAACCATAAATTTGACAGGTGTTTCTCAAAACGGCAAAACTAGAAATATCTATTAAATCGTAGGTGCAGTTCCCGATGCAGCAAACCATACCGATTCAGGTCCCGATATCCGCGGGCAACGGACAGACCGTCTACCAGACGATCCACTTCCCTGTCCAGCTAGCAGCAACGTCCGCCGCCATCCCGACTGGTGTCATCCAGACAGCGGGCACCGCACAGCCTCAATTCGCCAGCGTGCTGACACCTAGCGGCCAGATCCAGCAACTGCAAATCGCCACGTCGGTTGCGGCGGCCGCCGCGCAAGCGCAGCAGCAACAACAGCAGCAACAGGCGGCACAGCAACAAGCGCAGCAGCAGCAGCAGGCGGCGCAGCAACAGGCAGCCGCGGTTGCTGCGGCTGCTAACGCTGCGCAAAGTGCGGCTGCGCAGGTAAGGATTTAAAAAATCAAATACACTCTCAAAAAAATCCAGGGTTTCGGTGATTCTGGACCGGCTGTATTTTGGTGAAAAATTGTCGTATCTAAACTCTAAATACAGCATTTTGAAGCTTCATGATTTTAGATTTCTGGTTTTTTAGCAGAAAAGTTCTAACAGATTGCGCAAACAAATTTTATTACAAAACTTTTGCCATCTTCTTTTTGTCTACGAGCTTGAAATTTTTTTCTGTAAGGTCATCATGTAGATCAGATAACCCGTTTATTCAGCTCCAATATTCTGTTTTTAAAATCTCAATACGTTCATTTCACCCTGAGATATCTGACTTTAAATGAATCATCCTTTTGTCATTGACCACTGATATCTCGATTACCAATGATCGCACAGAGAACGTAAGGGTATTTCCGAAAACTGGAATAAATGATGATAATATTATTTATTCACATCAATTATAAATTGTGAATGAATTGATATGCCACAATAGGAAAATATCATTGTGGGTGGATGTCATTCTAACACATAACATACTCGTATAACATAGCAGTTACAATAAATTAATGAGACTGAAAAAATCTATATATAATATAAATGTAATACACTAATTTTGTATCGTAGATTAGCAATACGCAAGAGATATTTAAATGTTTTTTTATAAATTACATCATGCTTATATCTGTATTCAATAGCCCCTGGTATAAATCTATTTTTGATAATGATATTCAGTTTTTTCTAATATGTTTTGGTAAGTTATGATGTACTTTTAGATCTGAGTATATCAGATTTTTGAGGATTTTTTCCTTAGTGTTGATTTTAAAAAGTCGAATAAAGTTTCATTTTGCATGTTTTGGAAAATCGACAGCATGGATCTAATGATTTTAGGTTTTTTCATACCTCAATATATCCCTAAGAACCGTACACGACGGCATCGATCCAATGATGATTTCTCCGAACCGATTTGTCAATATTTGAAGGAAATCAAAGGAGTAAAATTTTTGTAGCAACACATCCTGTTGTTGAAAATGGAAAAATCATTTTTCTTATTTTGTTATCACTATTGCATATCTGTAACGCTTCCAGTTTGAAAACATTGGAAAAATGTTATTCTTTTATTCATGGAATATTCCAAAAAACAAAAATCTGACCAGGGGCGGATCTAAAAAGTATTTTTATTGGGTGTCTAAAGGCGGATATAGCAATTTGTGGGTCCGCAGAAACTGGACAATGGATCGATCTGCCGTCCTGTAGGATTATTAGGCGTAGATTGAGGTATCGAAAACCCAAGAAAGATTAGCCTTCTAATTAGCAGTCGATTTTTCAGAACAAGACAAAAAGTAATGTCTTTTACATTTTTAAAATCAATACTAAAAAAACAAAAAACTACCTCAAGGATTGCAATCAAATCTCATAGGAGGTTTATTCCAATTTTCGAATATGCCCCTACATTCTCCGTGCAATGACTGGTTACCGCGTCTAATGATCGCATCGAGATTTTAAAAACAGGATATTGCAGATGAATGAACGGACTATCTGTTCCATATGTTGGCCTAACAGAAAAAAATGTTTTCAACCCCGTGGACCAAAAAGGCCAAATTTTTACAAAAAATGTTTCTTGCGCTAGCTGTTGAATTACATGAGAACTTGCTCCTAAAATTTTTCTGCTAAAAAATTCTGGAAACTAGAATTTTTAAGCCTCAAAATGCTTTTTTAAAAGTCCAGATACGACTATTTTTCACCAAGATACAGCCTGTCAAAAATCACCGAAAAATCTAGATTTTTTCATGCTCCCTTAATTTATTTTTTTTTGAGTAGTGTAGAAAGACGCCTGCTACCAAGGGAGATAGTCGATAAGACCTGTTTTTATTCCCCAGTACCATTTATTTTTGAATAAAAAATATTTCCTATTCAAAATTATCGTTAAATTATTGTGCAAAAAACAACAATGGATTTTGAAGCTGGTATACTAGATTCATGACTTGACTGATCTACTTAAGTTTTTTAGACCACTTGTCTTTGGAAGATCATTTAGAGTTTATTTCAAAATCAAGAATCAGGACAATCATGTCATACATATGTTCTATGTTCTGAATCCAAAGTAGGTTTCAAGGTCAAATTCTTGAAAAGCCGGGCAAAAGTCCAATTATCTGTCATACATATAAGATGTCACAGATTCCGAATGCTTATCTCCATATGGCCATCTAGGTGAATTTCCAAGGTCAAATTAAAAAGAAGTCAAGCTATCGAGTTCACACAATTATCATCCTTCCACTACCGCATTAGAACTGTGAAGCTAATTCGATTGACTATACTGCTTCCCAAGCATTGCTTTGAATCTATTAAAATCTCAAATTCACGATAATTCTAAGCGTGATTAATGAAATATGAGAAATGCTTGCATTCAAAATTCCTGATCCTCTAAACAATGTGACTGCACCATAAACAGAAAGTTTCAAAACTTCAAAAATTGAATTTTGAAACAAATAAAACAGTCACAAATTGATTGGCGAAAATCTCTTCCTATACTGTACACAAAGTGTACTTATGAAGGCTGTTTCATTGTGCATTAAAATTCAAAAATTAATCCAGCTCTACAACACACATGCTAGCCAAAGATTACTGCTGTAAAATAAACTTAGACACATTTTACAGTACGAGGGTGGTCCCAGAAGTACCCGACCCAACGAAGAAATCAAAAATTTTGTAAAAAAATGTATTTATTTTTCAACATAATCTCCTTTGAGCTCTATACACTTTTCCCAGGGATGTTCAATAAGTTCGATACCCTTTTTTTAATAACTGTCTTGCTCCTCAAAATAGCCATTAACTGCCGACATCACTTCTTCATCATTGGAAAATCTATGGCCACTGAGCCATTTTTTCAAGTTTGGAAACAGAAAATAATCCGAGGGGGCTAAATCTGGTGAATAGGGTGCATGAGGTAGCAATTCAAACTTTAATTCGTTAATTTTGGCCATTGCAATAACGGATTTGTGAGCTGGTGCATAGTCTTGATGAAACAACACTTGCTTCTTAACCAAATGCGGCCGTTTTTTGCTTAATTCCATCGCTCAAAAGTTGTAATAAGTTCGCATAACACTCGCCTTTGATAGCTTTACCTTTTTCAAGATAGTCAATGAAAATTATCCCACGCGCATCCCAAAAAACCGACGCCATAACCTTGCCTGCAGACGAAACGGTCTTCGTCTTCTTTGGAGCCGGTTGTCCCTTTTGAGTCCATTGTTTTGATTGTTCTTTTGTCTCGGGTGTGAAGTGTTGGACCCATGATTTATCCATGGTTATGAAACGACGCAAAAATTCTACTTTGTTGCTGTGAAACTTCGCTAAACACTCAATTGAAACATCTTCACGACACTGTTTTTGCTCGATTGTGAGCAACCGCGGCACCCATCTTGCACAGCTTTCTCATGTCCAAATTTTCAGATAATATGCGATGAAATGCCTACTATGTCTGCTAGCTCGCGTACTTTCAGTCGACGATCAATCAGTAGCGCTTTGTGAATTTTCTTCACCATTTCTCGTCTTGGCAGCTCTTACGGCCTCGTTTAAACTCTGCTACCCAATATTTTACTGTTGTAAACGAAGGAGCAGACTCACCCAGAGTAGAATCCAGTTCAGCTTTTATATTGGCTGGGCGGAGGCCTTTGAAATAAAAGTATTGTACCACATAACGATTACCAATTTTCTCCATTTTCACAAACACAATGAAAACGTTCAGTATTGATGGCTGCCAAATACTAAACAACGTGGCGTCTTCAAACTTGACACATATGCTTTATAGGTTGCATACTTTCTAATACAATGATATTTTTCAAACAACTATCGCCATGTCTAGGTCAGGCCGGGTACTTCTGGGACCACCCTCGTAGGTGTACCAGCATTCTGATATAGCAATATGAGAATACGATAGAAAACATCGAATGTTACCTGGAAATCATTTTTTTTAAGTAAAAACAAATATTACACAGCCCAAATTTAGCGAGCACGTCGACTTGTTTGGACATTTTCGATTGTTGAGTAGAAAATACAAGTTAGAGAGACAACAGTTATCCGCTGTTTCTTTTGCAGAAATAGTGGGTGGTCCATTGTACCCGCCCTAACCATTGTCGCCTCCCTGACCCCATACATATTTCATTTTTTACAGGTTGCACAAGTAGATGCCAATACTCAATTAACGTTTACGGGTCCAAATGGGCAACAGTACACTGTGATACCGGCTACCAACCTTCAACAAGTGAGGGGTGCCTTAGGAAATCTTAGTAATATCATACAAGTGCCTAATATACAAACCATACCAAATATCCAGAATATACCAGGTAAATTAGAATTCTTTGATATTTATTCTTTGTTAGAATAGTCATTTTATGATATATACTCATATAAAATTTTAATTCTAAAACAGCTTATGGTAATTAATAGAACAGCTGTGTTAGATGGTGAAGGGCTGATTATTAGTGTTTGTTCAAGATTTATTTAGCATGATTGGTACAATTACAGTCTTTTAAAAAGCTACAACAATTATTACATAAGATACAATATTTAGAAAAATATAAGTTACGACTAAGAATTTTGACTGACGATGAATCAATTGTACCATTAATTTTCAATTAAACATCTTTAAATTACAAGTAGGCTCTATATCATTATTTAGTTTATTAAATTCAAGTAACCTTTTCTGAAATATTGTTTTGCTAGTTACTATATATTACTATTACAATTTTATAAATGGAAATAATGCATTTCCTAGTAGTTCAAACTTGGTATCAAATTTACCTAATTTTACACTATACATCATTTCCTGGTGAGAGCAGAATTATTTAATTTTTTAACGGAAATTGGTGCTATGGCTCAAAATATTCTGTCACAGTAGTCTCGCCAGCCATAAGCGTGAGAAGACTACACTGCTATAGGGTTCTTTATATGTTCAGGGTTATGCTTAATCACAGTATTTTTCAATTTCAGTTTGTATACCTGGACTTGGTAATGTACATGTGATAACCCAACAAGCTGCTACAGCAGCACCTCAGATTGCAGTAGGTCAACACATTCAACAAGATCCTAATGACCCCAATAAATGGCAGGTAATTTTGCATCAATGATTTATTAAAAACATAAATTGTTGGATTTTTACCTGGTTAGGAAAACAAAGTTACTCTAGGATCATGAAAGGATCCTAGAATGGTGTAGTATTATTAGTCATATTAATAGATACTGGCGTCAAGTAGATTGACTCTGCACTCCCCACGCAATGTCAAAAACATTAAATGGATCAAGTCAATCAAACATACCCATAAAATTAGTCTATAGTGCTCGCCCATTTGACAACATTACGATCTAAAAATTTGCCAACGTTGCTACATTAAAATTCGTAATACGTCTATAGGTGTTTTAATTTACCAGTTGGAATCGTACTGACTCTAAAAAAATTGAAATATCCCCCTTCCCCTATAACCCTCAATTTTTTCCCCTACAAAAATTTTCTGAAAATTCTTAAACGTCAAAAAAGTTTAAGCGTTTTTTTTTCTGTTTCGTTTTTTGCCCCTAGCTCAGCCGCCACCGGTCAATTTTCAGAAACTATAAAGCTTCTTTGTCATTGGCATAGTAGTAACTTTGTATAAACATTCCAAATTACAGACCTTTCAAAGATTAGCGGACAAACAGACCGACTGAAATGAGTGGTTGGCTTCGTAAAGTACATGTCATACAAAGAGAAAGCCATATACCACTGACGTCGTAATATGTACAAGAGAGAAGCTTGCAATACGCATGTTAGAAAGAGATAGAAGTACCACGTTGCCTAGCAACCCGAGTTATGAGACCACGGACGCAGCTGCGGCTTGCAGCGTTGCCATCAGCGCACTCTCGTACACAATATGACGTCGGTGATATTTGGATTTCCCTGTGTATGTAACTTCCCAAATATCTCATTTTTCAAATGCTCGCGATTACAAAACTTCCTCGTCAGATGTGCAGGAAGTAAATGTAAGAAAATGGCATAAGTTATAACACAAGCATAACAGTTCATATCGCTCGTTCAACTTGCCTGAACATTATTTACTTCCAAACCTTAACCCTCATCACACTCTGATGTCTACTTTGTACTGTAAGAATTGTGAATCTATTGAAGTTCTGTAGCATAACCGAAATATTTTCATCAAAAATATTGATTAAAACATCTCTTATTTTTAACCAACTCAAAACTTAATCATGAATATCAGCTATAAAACGAACTAAAGTTACAACATTAGACAAAAACAAGTTCTTAAATTAGTAGTACCTAAAACAACACTTTTGAAAGACTCAATAAGTTATAATGCTCTGAAAAATTCTTCCTGATGCTATAAAACGAATTAACAATTTAAAGATATTCCGCCGTGAACCTAAACACTTTTTAATATGTAAAAATGATATTGTACATTATATAGTTTATTCACTACAATAAAGCAGTTACGTCATATTTGGTAAATTTGGATGCCAACCGTAATGCAAAACAGAACCTGAATTGGCACGTATAGTTTGAATTTCCCGGGTACATTTATGTTGATAACAGTTTTCTGTGTTGTGACATTGTCGCAAAGCTTGTCAGGTAATTACGCCAACGGCTGTTGTTTATTTCCGTTCTTTTTGCCTCAATATTTGCGTTTTTATTTAATGAAAACAGTCGAAATTTTGAGGTGTCCTTTTAAGCATTTTGCTAAAATTCAGAAACCTCTGGGTCGACAGGCAAAAGGCTTCGTCATTTCTTTGACGAAATATTTTGAGCCGACCGAACAAGACCATGGAGTTCCATTATTGCCTTTGCAGTCCGTAAGAGAGGTATTAGGCAGCTACGTAATGTTGGTTGCGGTAAGGCATCGAAGACATAAAGTAAATTTTGTAAAACGTCCCTAGTAGTTTTAATTAATGTGGCATCCATGTGCGTCACTGTCATTATTTGGCGTTGTGACGTAACTGCTTTGATTTATTGAATAAACCACTGCTTTGATTTATTGAATAAACCATACCTTCTATAACTCACCTACTTAAGATCCACCTACGTAATTAAATTATAGTTTAAAGTTAGCTTTGTCATTAAGAACGATTGTGTTCTTCAGACAATAAAGCATATTTATCTAACTATCGCTTGGGTCATTTGGAATGTCTTCCAAAATTTTCCTAATTATGCACAAATTGCTAGAAAATACGAAGCGGTTTAAGGCACGTATTTTGAATTTTTTTAAATGATCTACTAGTACTGAATAACAATTATTGTTTGTCCTAGGTAATCCCAAACGTAGCTGCAGCTACGACAACAGCCATCCCTCAAATGACAACAATCGCTCCAGCCAACAACGCGGCGACAACCGGAGTTGTCATGACAGCGCAGTCGCCGACCAATGACAGCGAAGACGTCAACGCGCACGGGGGAGACGGGGATGGCAGTAACAAGCCGAGGGTCAGACGGGTAGCCTGCACGTGTCCAAACTGTCAAGAGGGGGAGCGGCACACGGATAGGAAAAAGCAGCATATCTGTCATATACCAGGGTGCAACAAGGTATGTTAGATTTTTTTTGACAGAATATTCTTGTCTAAGATAAATTTATCCCAATTACTCCTGTGCGGGATGTGACATTCAGGCATAAGGGCGTAAGACGGGTGCTCTTGTCGCTTGACATCAACAAAGCTTCTGGTCCGCACTTGATTCCTGCCGTTGTATTGATGAGGTGTGCAGCGGAGCTTGCTCAAGTTTTTTCGCGTCTCTTCCAGATATCTCACGAATCCGGCACCTTGCTAGAAAACTGGAAATTATGTCCAACCCATCCCATAAAAGGGACCTAAGACCGGCATATAGCTCTGCTATCTGTTATAAGTAAAGAGATGGAGAGGTGCATAAATCGCGAGCTTCTTGAATACCTCGAATGTCACGGCTTGATTAGCGACAGGCAGTATGGTTTTCGGCACCAGCGATCCACAGAGACCTCCTAGCTTACCCCACGCAATTGTGGAGTAAACTTATTCAGTCTTATGATGAGGTTTTTGATATCACGAAAGCGTCTGATCAACTGTGGCATGCGGTCCTCTTATACAAACTTCCATCCTATGACCTCCCAGAAAAGCTTTGCAAATGGGTGGCCGCAAGATATACGTCGTAATTGACGGGTTCTCCTCTGCATCTCACAACGTCAACGTAGCCATTCATTTCGGCTGGTCGGACTGCAGATCACCCAGGACTTGATCTGGCATGAACACATTTCGTCAATAGCGGCAGCTGCTGGAAAAAACTAGGCTATTTGTTTAGGGCTAAGAAGTACTTTTCTCCACATTACCTCCTTACTCTCTAAAAGGCCCACATAAGACCTACCCTCGAGTATTGCTTACATTTATGGGGTGCTGCCGCCCCGACTACATTATTCATGCTCGGTGCTTTTCAGAGGAGGGCTTGTCGACTAATCGAAGACTATTCTCTAACTTGTGTTGCACCAAAGACTATAATATGCTAACACAAAATCAACTTCGTCTTTGGAGATAATCCATTTATCAAGAGAATCACTCGGGGAGCGACTTTTCTGTCACAAAAACATTGAGGGCTCGCGCAGACAGACAAGCGTTCAGCGTTCACGCTGCGTTCGTCTGATCAATTTCTCTTAGGAGTTCCAGCAATCTAACAAGAAAAAAGATACTGGGTATATCCGTTTAATCGTGAGTATTCTTTTTCCTGCATTGCTTGAAGATGAAGAACGATTTTTGTTTACTTCCGAATGTCATTAAGTAGTTTTAATGAATTGCATGATTATATAAAAGATGAAATATAGAAACAAGACACCAACTGGAGAAAGGCTATAACTACAAAAGAAAGATTGACAGTATTTTCCCATTTCCGTGGCTATTTCAAGCTGTGCTGCATTTTTTTAACTGTTTTTATAGTCTGCGTTACTAAGATCATATAAAAAGGCCTTTCCCTTACTAAATCAATTAATTTTTCTAAGAAAGCCATCTTGCGAACGAGGCGTTCCACGAGTTCTTTATATTTCTGACAATAGAACGCAAGACTGCGAGCGTTCACACTGACCGGCACGGTCTGACTGCCGCTGTGTCTGCGCGACTCTGCAGAGATATATTAGTTACAAAGAACGTGGAACGCGGAATGCTTTTTGTCTGCGCGAGCCCTAAAGGATACAGTCCCTCGGAAAGTAATGGAACTACGTCTACATTCTGTTAGTCATATTACTCATTTGTTTTCAATAATTGACCTCTGTGTTTTTATGGGATAATTAAAACTAGATCCTAACTTTAGGTTAGCCTATGTTTCAATTTGAATCTTCCCGTATAGATGCTAACACGCAGCAAAACAGAAGTCGGGTATTACAAAAAAAAAAAATTATGAATGGTAAAACTCTGTAGTTGTTACATCAAAGAATCTTGCGTCAAATATCTATCTATGTAATAGTTGAAAAGCGGAGAAAACCTGACAGAAACCTCGACTTTTGCAGAAGGTAAACAATGAGTCTTGTATGTTGCAGGTTTATGGAAAAACGTCTCATCTGCGTGCCCATCTGCGCTGGCACACAGGCGAAAGACCGTTCGTGTGCACGTGGTTGTTTTGCGGAAAGCGGTTCACGCGTTCTGATGAGTTGCAACGACATCGACGAACGCATACGGGAGAGAAAAGGTTTCAGTGCAACGAATGTAACAAGAAATTCATGCGGTCAGATCATCTCTCCAAGCACTTGAAGACGCATCAGAAGAATAGGGTTACGGTAAGTGAGAAAATTATATCAAAAATATTAAACCTCAAACTTCATTCAAATGGATTCATGCTGCGTCAAATCTAAAACAGGATCCTGATCGTCAAATTCACGCTCAGGTATTGGCCAATAGTTTACGTATACAGTAAAAGCCAATACGAGTGCGAGAATTAGTTGATCGATCAGCCATACTTGTTTTGACTCTGCGTAAATGCCATTTAAATGAGATATTGTTAATTAGTTCAAACGAATAAGAAGACTGTCAGATATACTCCAAAAAAATAAATGATATACTGCTACTTAGCTATAGTCTAATCATATTAGACGAAAATATCCCTGGTTTTATAGATGCAAGTTGTTCAAGGGGGTATTTAAATCATGGACGAATAAAATGGGTACACCAATTTTTGTGGGAAAACTTTTTATTCAATAACAAATAATGCGAAAACATGTTTTTTGGGATTCAATCGAAAGTGTTGGCAGGAACGAAAAAATCTTCAAATAAGGTGTTTAGGTATTTATGAGACCCACAGAATGTGACTACACGTAAAAAGATCCGACTAATATTAAAAAAGCTATGGACGAAAACCGAGGCAAGATGCAAGTTTTCGCACTTGTTGGTAATGCGACTCTAGTTTCACGCAGCTAGTTGAAATTTTTCAAATTCGTAGGCTTCATACTTCTAAATAATGACAACAACATTGGTGTAGACTGGGTCAAGTAGTTTTTGAGAATTTCTAATTGTTTATCCCCTTCGTTTTTCGCACAAAAATTAGAATTATGTTACGGAATGGTTTGTGATTCATGTCGGCAAGGTAAACTCGTGTATTTCGCTATAAAATGCCCTTTGAACGAACCCTGTGTATTGGTCAGTAGTGACGGCCGGAAGACAGGTGTTTTGGAACAATTATAAATTCTCTGAAACTACTTGACCAATCGACTCCAATTTGGTTGTGGTTATGTAGAAGTATGAAGCCCACGGTTTTGAAGAATTTCAAGTAGCTGCGTGAAATTATCGTCGCATTAAGGACAAGAGCCATAACCTGCATATTGCCTCTGCTATTAGTCGGATCTTTTTACTTGTGGTCTCATTCTAAGGGTCTCATAAATACCTAAACATCTTATTTGAAGAGTTTTTTCGTCCCTGCCAACACTTTCAATTGAATCCCAAAAAACACGTTTTCTTATTATTTGTTATCGAATAAAAAGTTTTCCCACAAAAATTGGTGTACCCATTTTATGCGTCCATATTTTAGATACCCCCTTAAACAACTTGCATCAATAAAAATAGACTTTACAATTATTTCGGGGAAATTTGCTAATATGATTAGACTATGTATTTATTGATCATTTCCTAGATGTGAACTTCATGGTCACTGAATAGTGTGAAACATAAATCTGGACTCTTCTAAATTGATTACAGAAAATTTTAAGCTCGTTTTAAAAATCGTTTTCTTTGCAGGAGCCTGAGAGGGGTGAGCTGACGGATCAAGAAGAGGACGAGGAAATGTGGGAAGCTGAAGTAAGTACCCAACCTCAAATGGACAACCCAGGTACACCTCAAGGCGCCCAAACTGACATGAAGCCTGTATGGATTACAGATAGCAAGAATAATATTAAATATGCCATTACGCATGTTAACTACTCACAGGTACGTTTTTGATGATTTTTTTTTAATTTACGTCTCGTTTGTAATTCAAAATGAACATCTGACATTTTGGAACATATGACTATGTTCACATATAATTATTATAACTGTAGACTAGTTTCCAGACTTCATATTAGATATTACCATTGATTAACATATTTCAGCAGAAAATACCCAGCTCAGTTGCTGCGCGAAAGTATTATGCACTGAGGAGTCACCAGTGCCCACCTATGCTTACTACTATACAGGGTTTCCCAGAAGTAGGCGTCAAGCCGAACTCGGGGGATAGGCCAAGTTATAATAATAATATAAAAAATCTAAGTCTGTACTTTTCAAGTTATAGGCTTAAACAATCTGAAAAATCTACACATTTAGTCCCCATTACTACAAATTTCAATTGTTTCTTAGACGGAGTGACGGACGGTGTCATTCTAAGTAGTGACAGCAAGAAAGATAGTAACGCCACTTTTATTAATTCGTGGATGTACATTAAATTCACAATAAATGTTCAAACTGCCTTCCTTAAAACTGATCGGGCTTTCAGACGGGTGAATCTTCCGTTATTAACAAATTCAGCTGCTTCATTATTCTGTCCCGTAGATCAGCTAAATTTTAGATTGGCCTCGAGTAAACTTTTTCTTTCACCGCTCCCCGGTAAAAAAAGCGAGTGAATTCAAGTCCGGTGAACGGGCTAACCACAAAATTGTGCCAGCCCACTATATCCATCTGCTCGGGTATTCCGCATCAAGATATTCTCTAACTAAACGGGCATTTTGCGCTGGGCAGCTGACTTGCTAGTACCACATGCCTATGTAAATGCTTAGTGGCACATCTTCGAATAAATTTGGTAAATGATTTTGTGAAAAGTCTGAATAAATGCCGCCTTTCAAGAACTCTGGCAGCTCAAAGGGTACCCTGATTCTCCCATTTTTAGAATCCCGGTCCACATGTTAAAATGATACTTTGATCTACCTTGTCTAATCAAATGTGGATTTTCTACATGCACTCGTGTAAGGTGTGTAGATTCATGAAACCATCTTTTTTAAATGTCGACCCATCAGGGACCATAAAATTTTCTTTGAAAATCGCGGAACTTCCCGGTGTCTGTAATATTGTTTGACAGAACTCAACTCTTGAACGATATCCGGGGGTTGTAGATATTGTATTCGCTGTACGTGGTACGGGTGGATCTCGTTCTTTCGCAAGATTCGGAGGACTATACTTCTGGGCACTCCCATGCTTACTTGTATTTGCCGTTCTGAAGTACTCGGGTCTTCTTCACTTGCTTGTAGCATGACCCCCTCGTAAGGAAAGGAAATTATCCCTTCGCCATGTGCATTTGTGCATCTCTCACGATAAAGCCTAGCTGCAGCACTAGCATTGCATCTACATTCCCCATAAATGATGTGCATGTTTGCGTATTCCTGTATGGTGTACACAGGCATGGGGGCAGTACACAATCATGAATTAATAAATGTGGCTTTCACTACATAGAATCACACTGTCCGTCACTCCATCTAAGAAAACATTGAAATTCGTAGTAATGGGAACTAAAAGATCATAATAGGATGTAGATTTTAGCGATTTTTTTTTAAATCCAATAATTTGAAAAGTACACGACTTAGATTTTTTCATCTTGGCGGCAACTTCTGGGACAACCTGTCTACCATGATGTTTAGATGTAAGCATAGGTGACTGAACTGGTTGCTGCAGATTATGGGATTTCGTTTTCCATCCCTGAGAATACATAATTTCTGACATAATTATGAGAGAGGTTGAGGGATGATCTTCCTTGCAAGGTGAATGTCACGTTTAAGAACAATTGGCAACATATGGCTGGACATCTTGGAGAATACATTAATCAATAACCTAAGAAACCTGAATGTATAGGAAATACGAAAACATTCTACTTAACACCACTTTTTTTTGTTACAGGAAGCAGCAACGTCAACACAGTCCGCATCGTCAGACAGCTCGAGCAACGAAGAGAAAATGATGATTACTCTGAGTACCTCAGAGGCAGATGAGCTGATCATAGCCGATCCGCTGGACAGCTGAGCCCCAGTTTATATAATGGACCCTGTTGATTTAAATATTTGTTGATGCTCCACTTTGTACATACTGTAAAGATTTTATAAATTATTATGAAAGAATATATTTTTGCATTAGTCATTCGCAGTTTCAATTTCAAAAACCAGTTTATTAGAATTAAATAACATAAAAAAGGATATAAAAATAACAATATATTTTCAAAATATGTTGATATGGGGATGTGTTTAAGATGCAGCTGGATAGAGTTTAGATAAATTTGTTTTCAACCTGATTCTTAACACTGTTATGATGTTGGTTTTCAACATGTTCCACCATACAAAACTAAGTACATATTAAATATGTCAAAAATATTTGGTCATTTTTGTTAAAAAAAGGTGGGTTAAAAATATATATTGCCATTATGCAGACCCTGAAGCACCTACCACGAACAGATCGATTTGGTTTCAGTGAAGCAACAGTCTGGCCAGAAGTGTGCTTCAAAGTTCAAAATGTAATTTTTCCAGTCAAAGAACTGCTTTAAATTGGAAATGAACGCGCACAAAGTGTATTGACTAAATCTGAAATTTAACAAAACAACACTCTCATTCGAGGCATCGTAGCCACTATTAAACTCTATCCAGCAACATATAAAACAAATAACAGCAGATCATCTCAACGAGAGCACCAGATAACATTTTTGTCATCTATAACAGAAGGGTATTGGTAAAGCTTCATTATCGTTACTACTACACTTGACTCGTCCTACTAATTTTGTATAAACAATAAAGGCATATCAAAACAAAGGTTTGAGTAATGTCATTCGCGCAAAACATTTCATGTTCGCATTTTCGAGCAATGCGGCTCACCTTCCCTGAAGCCAAACTTTTTTCAGCGACGCACATCGTCAAAGTGGTTGTTCAAGCTGAAGTTCCGCACATTTTCTACTGCTATAAATAGATCGAGCTCCGCAAATCTTGGGAACAGGTCGACAGATGTAAGTGAGCCGCTTTCCAGTGCTTTTGAATTGAAAGTTGTATGCACTCGGAGTGTGACGCTCCCGAACTGCTCTAGCAAATGTGCACGGGAGCGCGACGATAAAAACCTATCCTGTTTTTTTATGGTTTGCTTTGACGTTGACAATTTGTATCACACTGGCAAACAATGAAAATGTAAACAGAAGCATTGTCCGTGTGCCAGACTATCCAATTGATGCATGATGATGCTTTTAGAATCATGGCGCAACAGGTCAGAGGTCTGCATCTTTATTGTAAAGCTTCTGGATAAATGTGTCGAATTCATATTTTAGTGTATACATTCGAAATTATTTTCAAAGTGCCAGTTATAGACTGCATCTTGCACCCTCTTGTGATATTTATTATTCAGGAACATCTCAAATGTAACATTGTTGTGACTCTGGGTCACAACATTATCATTTTTTTCTATCCTCCATTGTCTGGTATCGGTTCAATGAAAAAAAAACGAAGGAAAAACATAACCTAACAATCTTGACACATTATCATTTTCGTTATCTCCACTATTTCGGAGCGTATAAGACCGAATAATTTAGCTGGTGCATGAGGGGAAGGGATTTCAAAAATGAGTAACTCATGTGCATGACACTCAAGAGTACTGGAACGGTATTGGTGGTGGGTAGCTCCTAGTAACACAAATGAGGCACTGGAAAGCGGCTCTGGTATGATCGTAGAGTGGTTCTACCTACCAATTCAGACTTAAGTCTACGAATCTGTCTGTAGTCAAGATGAAAGTGAGTATTACAACCGGCAGGTTTATTACGCAAAAAACCTATAAAATGTCAGGAAAAAACCTACAAAACATCAACTTTCTGACTAGATAGCTGCTAGTGCACAAATAGTTCATTCCACTAATGCTCCCTGTGAGTGTCATCTATGGAGGAATGACCTAACGGCATACCAGCGTGCTTTGTTGGTTGCAGAATGGCCAGATAGTCTGTAAAGTATGTATCTCTGAGAAGATGTGACAAAAAGATTAATTGGATGACTTTGTATATCTGTCTGCATGTGTAAAAAAACAGTAATATTTGCTATGTGAGAAAATTATTACTGAATATGCTGCCCGTGTATATTAGCTGTACTAAACGGATTATTTGTGTTGTCCTTTCTGAACAGAGGTTATGTATAAAGTTATAAATTACAATTTTCCCCGGTTTTTTTGCGTTTTCAAAAACTTTGTCACATCACAAAAAAATAGGAATGGCGCATCACACGCAAAACATTTTCGCAATGCCTCACATCTAGGCGCTGATTTGTATTTTCTATTGACATCGCAAAATCAATGTCTATAAAAAACTTAAATGACGAAATAAAAAACAATGTAAAATATATTAACCTTTTCACGTTTCATAAATACATATTACTATCTAGTAGCCATTTTCTCTATCAATCCAACTCAGTTCATGTGACAAATATGCTATCCAGGTACCTCCATAATTAACAATTGTTTTTCTTAAAATATAACAACTTCTAACTTCCCTGACTAATTCCGTATCATATGCGCCTCTGCCATATGCCGCTTGTACCCTTCCCGATAGTCGAACGCCTCTGGACACAAATGACAGCAGTACATGTTGGTCAAATCGGAGTGCACCAGTCGTACGTGGTACTTCAGCGCTGATTGGTTGGAGTACACTTTGCCGCAATGTGGACAAGTACCGCACTGCGAGCTGTGATGCGGCTGAATGTCCAAAGAGGCTCGGGCCACTGTTATATCGTCTGGAAGCATGCCTTGGACATAGTGCTGAAAGTATGAATATACATCATATAATATTGATTTATTCAAAGATTTTAGTGTGAATAACTATTGTCATTAATGACGCTTCTAAGCGGGTAATATTGTTCTAGTGGCCATACTTTTTGACATTTTCGACCTATAAAGTCGAGACTGTTTTTGTTTATTCAAATATAATTACAATTTTATATTGTCACCCTGAAAATAACTTCCTTCTGAAGCCACACTGCACTGGAGATGGTTCTTCCACTCCTCATAGCAGTTCTGAAAATCCGATACTGGAATAGTCTTCAGCTGGTCGGTTACAACCATTTCAATGTTTTCGACTGTGTCAAAGTGAATTCCCTCCAAATGACTCGAGTGAGTTCAAACTTGTACTGAAGGCGGATCACATGTTCCCCTGTCTCCCCTCCAAGCCCAGCATCCCCAGTGTTTCCAGATCGAACACGACGTTGCCAGCCTCATCACTTAATTTACAAAACCTCGTATCTACGTTCTGATATCCCAGGGATGCCACAATATGCGGGGGCCTCCTTCCGCGGGATACCACAACATGCTGCTCTATGTCGAGAAACATCTTTACTGGAGGTTTTAAGGGCACGCCGTGAGATACCACATTGGAAGGCGTCAGAACGCCGCAGCATCCTCAGGCTATACAGAAAAACGTGGCAATATTTCTAGGGTAGAAAGTACATTAAAAAATAACATAAAAGTTTCTATAAGCAAGTTCTAAACTGTCCCACTACAACTACAAGATGCAGGGTGTTGTAAATTTCTACGCCACTGATGAGAATGGATAGGAACATAACAGAAACATTGTCCAAATAATGCTATGGTGAGTTACGATTACTCTCCTAATACACTACGTACAATTTCGGAGTTGGGTTGGAGTGTTTGATACGGATTTTACCACAAATATTCAAACCAGTTTTTCTCCAGAAGGAGCAGTCATACAAAATTTCTCAAGAGAGGAGATTCATATGCAAAAACCTTGAAAACCATATTCAAAACTGCAATAGATGTTTCTCTGGAGGTGATTTTTCACCTTCGGGATGAGAAAAAAGTGACATGGACTCAAGTCAGACCGATAAGAAGGCTGAGGAGTCACAGGAATGTTTTTATTGGCGTTTATTGACATTGCTGGGTGACAAGGAGCATTATCGTGTTCTTGATCTGATGAACGGTGATGCGAGTCAAATTTAACAGTCAACCGACAATCTGAACGCAAAAGATCCCGGTTTCTGTCGATATTTTCATCGGTTCTTGAAGATGAAGCCCTTCCGCGATCAGCTTCGTGGTTTGTCGATCTACTCTCTCTCTCCCTTCTGAAAATGCCTTAAAGTGTCCAAGTCTGAAGCAGAACCTGATAGCACTCAGTTACTTGAAATGGGTGTCACACATTTTTAGAACACAATAGAAAAAACTGTTTCACAAAAAAAATTCTACGGATAACCAAATGACTCGAGTGAGTTCAAACTTGTACTGAAGGCGGATCACATTTTCCCCTGTCTCCCCTTCGATCCCTATGCTGTTGCCTGATCAAACACTATGTAGCCAGTCTCATCATTTAATTTAAAGACCTCGTAATTTCATGTAATGCTATCAGACAGCTAAATAATTGGGATCCTGCTTAATGTAATATTGCAGGCAATATTGCTGAGACACATTCGAGATGTAGCTGATATATTCAAGATATATAACTGGGCTGCAAATATTACCCATTTAGAGGCTCAATAATAAAGTGTATTCCAGAAAAAGCTTAAATGAAACTATCACGTATATTTTTAAATTGAATAGAGAGACCATTGAAGTCAGTGAAATAAAACATCAACCTTCATAGAAAAAACGTAGTCATATTTTTATGAGCTTCAAAAAAGACTATACTTGCTAACAATTTTTTTTTCTGGGACTTTTTGAAAAAGATAAAATCAGTTGTATAACTATATAATCCAGAGAAGATTTGTATATTTAGAAGTTGTTTTCTGATCAATAGTTTTGGCAAATGAGTGCAGCAAAGTTTATATACATACTCTAAAATGAATTTATGGAATGGATCATTGGCTCAACGATTTAGTAATTTTACCAGGAATATTTTGAGAAAGTTTCAAAAATGACTGTTCCAGTATATTTCAAAGTGTTTTGCAAAATTTTTTAATATGCTACTATGCATCTTGACTGCTTACGCCACTATATGGAAAAAATTATTAGAATATGTCTCACAAAAAAACAGATTATTACATATCTTCTAGGGAATTTTCTCTGATTCAATTTGTCATAGAGCTAATTTCCTTAAAAAAATGACGTCAGATTGACTCTATACTTTGCATGCTTTCGAAACAACTTATAGTAAAATTTTCCATGTAGAGCAATAACATCAAAAAAACGTAGTTTTCGTCGGATCCAGTAATCCACTACTTGGGCTTTTCATGAAAAAAATCCTCTGATTGCAATGGGCATATGCATCATTTATTTGGAGCTCTAGTGTAAATCTGTTTGCCAACAATGTTTGATAACTGATTATAATAGCTCTTGATAAATACTTGTCTAATTTATATTATTATGCCATAAAAACAAATATCATCATTGAATTACACTCCAAGCGTAATGCTCATATTTTAAGGACAAATGAATAGGGGAATCTGTGGTATGTGAAATATGTCTAATAGGTGCATAGAATTAGCAAGGGTGGAAGTGTATTAATTCACTAACATCAAAAAATTGTGATACAACCCTCCCCACCCATTTTTCACCCTCAAAAATCAGACAGAATGATAAAAATAAGTGACATGTTTTTTTGTGATCATATAACATCCAAAAAACATTATCTAATTTTTGAAATTATTATCAATTATAATACTTCCTCACCAGTGTCGAAAGTAAAAGAGGGGAACTAATAACGATGTAATGACATAGTTAGGGTCATCATTTTTCCAGATTTGCCTTTTTCCTGGATTGTGACTGTTTCTTTGCAGAAGTTCACTCCCTACTGTTATATGATAGATTCTAATTATTATACTATAGCATTCCCTATTATTGCAGAAATCCAATTAATGTTGAAACAGCTACCTAAATTGCTAATTCTATTTTAAAAACGAAGTTTTTTGCATGAGAAATTATTTAAAAATATCCTATACATTTCACAGAATTGCTAAATGAATTCATCCAGTTACCTCAACACCTTCAGGATGTTCTTCAGCCTTAATACGTTGTTGATGATACTCTGTTACAGAATAATCAAATGCTGTAGGACTTGATTCAGAAGATTTGTTGCCACGCTTTTCTAAATCCTTTTCTGGTGACTTCTGGGGTAAGAAAGCTGTCTTTGGTATATCAGGAATTACACAGATCTTATCAACTGGATAAGGTATAGAAGAAGGTGATTTCACTACAAAATATGAAAAACATTATGTTGTAATGCATGGCATATCAGAGAGTTCATAAGACTTTGTAATTAATGAATCTTTTCCAGGTAGTTTGTTAGGTTGTTTTCCAAATACTGTAAGTCCATGGAAAATAGTGAGAATGTGCTGAGTAGATTAATGTTTTTATTTCTTACATATTCTCAGATGACATTGTTCAGAATTCTATTTTTTTATGTTGTTAACTCACCAGCTTGTGCAGTTAGTGACCTCTTTAAAATGCTACTAGGTTTATCTTTAACTTCTAAAGCTGCTTCAAGAATAGATCCTTGTGTTTCAGGTTTTTCCCCTACTACAACCTCTACTTTATCAATAACATTAAAATCATTTGAATCATTTGTTTCATCTTCAGTCTTTATTTTGCTCATCTCAACCATTTCAAACTGATTTGTTTCACTTGATGGTAACTCCTCTAGGGTTGGCTTAGTTTTAGGAGCTGTTTTCAGTTTTTTATTTGGATAGTCATAACATGCATTTGTGGGTTTAGTCTTTTTTGGATGCCCTGCTAGTTTCTTGTTGGCATTTTGATCGTTATTCATCAATCCAGACACTTGCAATACAACTGCTGTTTGTAGAAATGTAGCCAACTGTTCCTCTGATACTGTAACTTCACCATGATACATGAAATTAATAATTGCCATCAGGTCACCCTGTGAGATGTTATTCAATATGACAATGGGGTGAGAGCATGGGTTTTCCTGCAATTTTGAAACTGAGTACATTGAACTACAACTAGATTACATGGACAAACCTTGAACATAGCTCTGAAATACGGACTGCAAGCGGAGAGAATAAATTTATGTGCTTTGATACTGATTCCATCGCATGCTAGCGTTACATCTGCAAGATCTTCTGTGGCCTGCAAACTTTCAAAGGCATTCAGGATGTTTGCTTCGAATTTGGTCCACTTCAAGCAAAAATGCTTTCCACTCATGATTATGCCTGTAGCTCAGTAAAATAAACATGAAATGGATAAATAAAGACAAACTGGCTTAAATGACTTCAAATTAAATTGAAATGTGTAAATAAAAATAACCACGTATTAAACTAAAAACCAAAATAAAATTCTAAGACGTCACCTATGACATTTGTGGGGTGATAACAGCCATAAAACATATTTACAACGTCACGGATGACATGGAGCACAAGCCTACAAAATCTCAGGATAGAACACTCCATTAGCAGCTAAGAAAGGGGCGTGGTCCCTACGTGCCACTCCCTTTGTAAAGAAAATGGGTCAGGTAGGTTGACTCGGTATTTCTCATGATTTTTCGGTTATTCAAAATTCACAATTTTTGGCGACACAGGTTGGCAGTGGCGTGATTATTTGCCTAAATTATTGGGTCATTTTGTCGAAAAGGGATAAAAAACGAACGATGGAGTACTTGAGTTTTTTTATTTTGCTATTACAGAATATGAATAAATGTACTTTGTCCTCGAAGTTGCACCAGTAAGTATTAAAAGCAGCTAGTCATTCAAAGATGTCGTGTTGGCCGTGGCGTCATGCGTAGCTGTAAAGATCTAAATTTCGTCAAAAATGGGATAACGGAATCGACGCTGCCAAGCAGAGAGGTCAAGGTCGGGGAATCACTATGCTAATCCAAGTTAATCTATGAGTTCAGTAAATATATATTTCAAGGTACTGCCAATTTCAACCAGAATATAAGGAAAAGTTATTCGTTTCGCGAATCACTTTTACTTTGCGACGCTCAGTGAATGTAATTGCAGAGACAATTAACAACTTTGTTTATAATCTCAGACAAGACTTCCAACCTAACTTGCGCCCTCTACTTCTATTTACAGAGGTTCGTGCCACGCTAAGCTCTTTTCCATTGACTGGACTATAACTACTAGCTCGTCCAGGTATAGAAAATTTTGTGCAATGTATAATCCGTAGCTGCGATTCTGTCGATCTAAACCAACTGATATAATTGAAGAATCTGTTCAAAAATAGACGTCGAAATACTGGGGGCAGTTTTATGTGTTCTGTGGCTACGAGTCAGCGTTACAAGACGTACGATAATTATGGTTTTTGTATGATAATTTCAAGTGCTGTGCCATGTACGATAATAGCTAAATGTAAGATAAATTTTACGTTCCTGGGACATATGGCACTGTGCACGATAACTTGGACGGGTTTGTACGATTATATCTGGCGACGAATTTGGCAACGCTGCTAGGAGCACATCAGCCGCAGACGCAATTTTTTCTTTCGACTGACTTGCCCGACGCGCCAGCAAATTTTGTTATGTCATCTTGTCATCAATTTCTGTCATTTGATATCTTGAAAATTCAAAGAAAAAATTTTGAGCTCAGCGATTAAAAATTCCTAATAGAGTAACCCAAGTTAATACAGTTCAATCCTCGTAGACAGTATGAGCGAAGAGAAAAAGGACGAATCAAAAAAAGTAGACGAGGAGCTATCCAGCCTCTTGGACAGTAACGTTTCCGAAAATAGTTATAGACTTTAGCTAATTATCATTCATTTGTAGGCGCCCTCGCAGATTTCAGCAAGACTGATAAGCCAAAAGATGCAGATAAACCCGAGGGTGCGGCCAAAGATGAAACTTCATCAGAAATCAGTAGTCTTCCACAATCACAAGAATGGTCAGCTGATTTTGTGAAACAGGCTGCAAAGGAGTTTGAAGACAACTTTGCCAGTTTGCTGGCAGGCGTTGACCCATCTGCACAAGTATCACCCGAGTTGATAGAGCAAAAATTACGCCAAATGGCAGGTTAGTATAATACGCAAGCTTGAAAACTTAATTCTTACCTTGATAACCAAGATAAAAATGTAATGTAGAACAGATATCCAATTTCAAAAACCTCTTTGATCCACTTCTTTACCAACGTGATTTTTTTTGCTGAAAATGCTTCAACGTGTGGGTATACCCCTCATAAGCTACTACATTCCTTCCTCTTCAAATACACAATATAATACATGTTCAGTGCAAAAATATTATAATTCCGCGGCTTAACAACAGTACCATATCCCTGTATTGTGTTATTTTCAAATTTATGTGCTATAATCACCAAAATACTAATCTTAAGTTCGCTAACTACAAAAAAAAGATTACAGCCTTATCTGCTTTGCTTTGTGTTTCATTTCAATTTAGTCCCTTTAACAGATGTACTGCTTTTTGTTTGAACAACAAATTTTTTGAATAAACCTATTGCACTCCCCAAAAAAAAATCCCATTCATAGAACACTTCCAAAATTATCATAGTTCATTAGTTTCGTACTTGAATTATTTAGATATCTTGATGTTACTCTAAAATTATTGCAAATAGGATTGAACCAGTTCAGCATTTCAAATCTATGTGTCGTCCAATCTAAAAATTCATCAATTTAGATGAACTTTACACTTTCACTCAACTGCTGCTGATGGCCATCTATATCCATACATTGAGGTTTAACAACTTTACATGTTTAGTTCTACATAATGTTGCATCAGTTTTGGATTTATTTAACACTAGCTTGCTCTCAGAAAACCATATATTCACACTTTAATAAAATATTCCATTTAGCAGTTACCGCCTCTACAGTTGTTCCACTCAACAATAAAACCTGTTAAAATATTAATTTTTTAATTGTTCTGAATTACCCATTTTAAAAATTGGGTTAATAACAGCTACTTTCAAATTATCTGGGAAAGTTCCTTGTCTAAAAGCATTATTAATAAGCACAAAACATGTTTTAAATCTGGAGAGTTTGACTGTTTTGGAACTTCATCTATACCACAGCTAAATTTATTTTTCATCCTCCTCAACATATCACACACTTCAACAGTCATTGGTATTAAGTATAATGATTGGTCATTTTCTTGTAAATTGCAGTCAAAAGGTACATGTTTCACATCTTTTAGTAAAAGCAGAATTTGGATCTCCTTTGTTATGAATATCTTTATGATGGATTTTACCTGTAATTTGATGACATCTCTCACATAGATTTACTTTTATTATTCAAAAGCAGAAAGAATTACCCTATCTGTAACATGAAATAAAGTAAGATAAAAAGTTGCCAAGCTAAAAGATGTTTCAATGTAATAATAGAAAAGAAGTTATCTGGTATTTGTCATTACAGATGCTGCACAACAAGTTCTTGAAAACCCCACAGAAGTAACAAATACTTCTTCAGATTTTGCTGCTTCAATATCTCAAGCTATCCAAGGTCTTAGTGCGGGCACTGAAGGACTTCAGGCTCCACTAAATGAAGAAGATTTAATGAAAATGTTTGGAGGAAATGGTTCAACCAACGATTTGCTACCCTTTATGCAAGGTAAAACATATATTTGCTGAATCAATAAAGAAGATAGGTGAAAATCGACTCATGATACTTGTGAAAATTGAAAGTCAAAATATGTTGATAGTGTAGCTCACAAATGTGGCACAAAACTAAAGTAGAAATGTATTAAGTAAATTTATAATCCTTGTGACAGAAATCTGTCTGTATTCCAACATTACTTACACCTACTAGCAGAAGTATTATAAAGATACCTACTTACCACATTTCTGCATTCCCTGATTATTAACATTCTTGTAGATAACTCGTTTTCAAAAGAAAATCGCAACACTTGGTCATTAGACTATTGATATTCAGATCAAATGTTTCCATTTACAATAAAATGATCAAAACATAGCGAGCAAGTATCAAGAAAAAAATTCTTATATGTCATGTTTATGGAATTTTAGACATTTTAGGCATTTTTTGATCTTTTATTTTGAAAAATATGCTTAGAAGCTCTGCACAAAGAAACAAATAAGTTGTAAGTTGCGTTTATCCTAATAAAAAATATTATGATGTATACAGCACCTTAAAGCAGTTTTTCAAAATGAATGAAAAAAAATGTATTTTGGCCTCCAGTTCGATTGATTGTTTCCTTACAGTTTTGACGAATACGACAAAATGCCCATTTTACGCATCTTCTTTTTAGAATCTATAAGCAATGTTTGCAATAAAATTACTACTACTATTAATACAGGGTATTCTGAAAGCTTAACTTTTGGATATGAGGTTTTCATGAATCCAGCAGAAATTAATCCATCGATCTCTTTATAGGAATGATGCAAGGACTACTATCCAAAGAAGTATTAGGACCCAGTTTACAGGACTTTGTTGAAAAATTCCCAGAGTATTTAGAGAAAAACAAAGCAACTTTAGACCCAGCAGATGTTGACAGATACCAGAAGCAAAAGGCACTGATGGAAGAAGTATTAACTGAACTTAACAAGGAGTCAGACTCTGACAGTAATGATGTCAAGAAGGAAAGATTTACCAAAGTGCTAGGACTTATGCAAAAGGTACATATTAAAGTTTCATATATAATCATTTGTAGAATGTGATTATTACTCAGACGATGTTTATTATTTTTACATTTCCAACAAAGGTAATTCTATGCACATATTAGCCATATTTCATAAATCAAAGATTTTTCTGTAAACTTGCCCTTAAATGTTGAATTATAAAGATATATCTTTGATGTGCGCATGCCGGACTATGAACTGGTTGTATGATCATTTAAGGGAGGGACTATATAACTTTTGCCAAATATAACCTGTTATGCATTGATCAGACAGTGTTGCATAGGAAGTTGGGGGTTGACCTTCTTGACTCCCATTATTTTTTTGCTTTAAAACTGTTTGGCTTAAACACAAAACTTAAAGAATCACCCCATCAAGCATTTTGTCTTTCTTCTGAGACAGCCTAAATACACTCAGGTTCAAAATAAACGCAACAGGCAAAATTTTGGTCAAATTCGGGACGTTATAACTTTTTCATTCTTTGACTTCAATTGGCATATTTAATATTCTGTTTGTAGCCTCAGCTTAACTTGTTGTACAGGGTAAATCAAATTATTACCCCAACTTTGAGTCACTCTGTGGCGTCACCTCAGTTGCCTATCAGATCGAAATGCTTCCCATCATCAAGAACCACCTGTTCTGTATATTCTGTTTTTTAGTCACGTTAATACGCACAGCGGTTGAAGATTCAAAGGCAATGAACATTTTATCATCAATTTTCCTTCTACCCCCGTACGAATTCAAGAAGTTTTTTTCACCAAATTGTACACAAGTCTAACCATGGCTACAATCAAGAAATCGGATATGCACATGCTAATTAAATCCAGTTAAGAATAAAGAAGTTATGACGTTCCGAATTTGACCAACATTTTGTCTGTTGAGTTTATTTTGAACCTGAGTGTATATCTACAGATAAGAATTACATTATATTAGGAAAGTATAGCAGACACTCTGGTATTTGCATAAAAAAATTGATAAAATTGACCTTGTATTTCAGCTACAAGATTATGGACAGCCACCTCCAGAATTAGTAGGAGATGTTGAGGCTCCTTTCCAGTTTGATGCCCAAGGCAATCCGGTCCCAAATCCAGCGGTGAATTCAGAATGTAATATTATGTAAATACCTATTTACTTGTTGAGCAAATTATTATATTTTGGAATTAGGCTATTATCTGTTTATGTTTTTTCAATGTAAAAAGATTTTTGTGATTACATACCTTGTTAGATGTATTTGGTTGGAATTGTTTCTTGTTATAGCAATAAAAGAGAAAAAAATGTTTGTAATGTACCCTTTAATATCGGGTTTTCAAATAGGGACTTGACAACTTTGAACTTTCACTGTGAACGTACCTTTAAATCAATTACCGAACTGTCAATGTCAAAACATTCAATAAAGAAAACATCATGGTGAAGTACACGAACGAACAACACTTACAAATAATTAAAATTTACTACCGAAATTCCTAGTCGGCGACTGCAACTTTAAGAGCGTTAACGCCAATTTTTGGCCGTAATTCTAGTCCCAGTACACAAGCAATTCATATTCTATTAAAAAGAATTTAGTCCACAACGGGTTGGTCGAAGTGCCGAGAATATTGCTGCCGTTCAAGCTTCCGTTGCAAACGATCAGAACACGGCTTTCTCAACAATTGGGCATCGCTCAGACCACGAATTTTGCGAAGAGATCTTGGCCTGCACCCTTATAGGATCAAGTTAACTCAAGAACTACAGCCGTTCGATCATTGGTCTCTAGAAATGTTGCAAGAAAATGACCTATTTCATCTCAAAATCATCTTCAGTGATGAGGCGCATTTCTGGCTAAACGGCTTCGTCAACAAATAGAATATGCATTATTGGTCAGGTGAAAACCCCCGTGTGCTTCAAGAAACACCACTTCATCCACAAAAAATAACTGTATGATGTGGTTTTCATGCCGGTGGTGACATTGGGTCATTTTTTTTTTTCGTTGATGAAAATGACCGTCACGTTACAGTCAACGGAGATCGCTACTGAGACATGTTGCAACGTTATTTTTTTTGTTCAATTGGATGGGCTAGACATTAATGATATGTGGTTTCAACAAGATGGTGCCACACAGCGGGTGAAAGAATTGACATATTGAAATCAAAATTCGGTGAACGTGTTATATCGAGAAATGCTGTCGAATGGCCACGGCCACCTCGTATGATTTTACACCTGTAGTCTTTTTTGTTCAGCTACATTAAATCATTGGTCTATGCCAACAAGCTCAGAGCCAATATTGAACGAGATAACGGCCGTTTCTGTCGAAGTGTGTGTGGCCGAGTAATTGAAAATTGGGTTGAACGAATCGATCGCTGCGAACGTGGACATATGAACGAGGTCGAGTTCCATACATAAATATTTTGAGTATACTTCAATCCAATAATAAAATTTTCGAGATATCTCAAATGATTTGCGTTCTATGAAAGTTGTCAAGTCCTTGATTGACACCTTTTTATGGCTCCTCTTCACAATCGGCGATTACAAATGATTACGCGCGAGCACGGTCGTGTATGATCGCCTTCGACCCGTGAATTGTCGGTTTTTCGGACACGCATCGAAGGGAATCGCCGGGTCATATTGATGCTTGCCGTTTGATAAACTACTACGGACGCTGGCACGATGATCGTGCCTATTATGAACGATCACACGATCATCGCCGATAGTGAAGTGCAGGCATTATTCTCTAGGCGCTGAAGAAAGAAACTAAACCCAAACAAATACACGCATATTGCTCGTGAGTGAGTGTTTAGGCGCAGGAGACATTACAGGACCGCATCAAGATATTATGGGTAGTCATCAAAAATTTCATACAAGATAATTATTATCTTTTACAGTAAATTTCAGTTAGAGATTCACAAATGAGTTAACTACACTTTTTAGTTATTAGTAAGTAAGCTGCGCGCACTCATTCAGAAGAGGAACTTGAATCTTCTGAATCGTTTAAATGAATTATTAGAGGTTCAATTTGGGTATCGATGACATTGTCCAAATCCCACATTTTGACCTCAACCTTCTCCCGAACGTGGCGGATACAGTTTTTCCATTCCTCTGCCGTAACTCGACTGCGATGTGAAAGAGATTTTTAACATCAGAAAATTTATAAGTATTATTATTCGACGCCACGTATTGCTTTATGTTGGCCCAAATCAGCTCAATAGGGTTCAGCTCACAATGGTAGGGTGGCAGTCTCAAGACAGTTTTATTTTGTTTTTTGGCCATTTCGTCGATCATTTTAAAATCGTATTTGTATTTATGTCTATTGACTATACTTATCAATTCACCCTTGACCATTGTTTCATCAAAATCGATCTGTTTTGAGGCCAACCATTGTTGTATGTTTGCTTTTTTAGTTGCCATTGTGGGATTTTTTTCTATTTTTCTAGAATGGTACGGGGCATTATCCAGTACAATAACAGCGTTATTCTCCAGCTTTAGTAACATTTTGGAGAACCAATTTTCAAAGGAATTGCCATCCATCTCCTCATGATAGTCCCCTGCCTTTTTTGATTCAAAGGCCCACAGTGCTTCGGGAACAAAGCCGTCTTCACTACCTACGTGACAAATGATCAGCCGTTTGCCTTTTCCTGGAAATAAATTATTCCTTACACTATGGATTGATTAAATTTGAAGGAATGAGGCAATTGAGTTCATTTAGCTGAATTTAAGAGTCACGGAATGCTGATCAAAAACTGAAAAACGTAGAAAATTGAAGTTTGCAACTTCTCAAAACCCATTCAAAGCAAATTGACTGCACCCAAAAATGATATTAAATTTCAAAATAACGCTTAAAAGAGGGTCGAAGTTTTTTTCCTAATGACTACACTGCGAATGCACCATTTTTGGAGAATATCACACATTATCTGCTATCACAGCATATTATTTGCCCGAATTTATCAAAATTAAATTGCCGGATAGATGAAGGAGCTTACCTGCAGGATTTTTCAATCCAGCCGAAAGACCGTCTAGAAAAGCCTGCCTTGATGATGTTACTGATTTGTCGACCCAAACTTTCGCTTGAGTATGTCCAGCATTCACCCACGTTTCGTCCAAATAGTAAATTTTTCTTTTTTCATCGCGAAACTTCCGAATCTTCCTAAGGTATTCCCTTCTCCACACAACAATTTCTTCTTTCTCTATTAACATACTGTTTCTTCCCCGTTTCAAGAATCGAAAATTAAGTTCCTTCAAAAGTTTTCGGAATGTGGTTCTTTTAAATGATGGAAGATCCTCATCAGCATTAACTAATCTTAATATCTTATCTATTGTAGGTATCTCATTTCGGAAGAAAAAATTATGCACTTTCCTCCTGATGGCAGTTCTGTCAAAGTCATCTACTCCGTCCGTTATCCTTTTTCTTGCAGGATACGGTTTTGGCTCAGAAAGTGAGTGAGTGCTCCTATATTCCTTAATGATCCTATAAACACTGGACCGACATACTCCAGAAATATGTGCTACCTTACATATAACTTCGTCCACGACCAAATCGGGTTTTTCTTGAATTTGGTTTTTGTATATATTTAATATTATTTGTTTTTCATTTGCACTTAAATGTAGCTTCTTAGCCCTTTTTTTGGGTGGGGTTGCGCTGATGTCAACCACTTCGTCGGCTGTATCTGTGTCAGACATCGTATCTTAGGCAATATATAAACAAAACGTTCCACTCGCGAAAAACGAGTATACGCTACTGAATGCGTAATGCGTATGCAATGCAATCCTGTGCGTGAATTAACTGTTAGATGCCTGTCGTGTCATCTACAATCACGTTTACAAGTCCAAACCTGTGCAAATTCGTAGAGCGCCGACGACTGCTAGTGACCTTGAATTTGTCTGTAGATCGATGTTACTCCAGTCAATTTAGGTTCAAAGTGGATGTTTTCTAAACCAATTTGTTGTTCCTACATCAAAAATATATCGATGATGTTTTGTACTGGGAGCTCATGAAAGATCAAGGTAACTTATTTTAACAGTCATCCTTTTTCTAGTCTCAAGATGACACGAAAAAGGGTCTGTGGATTCACTAGAAATACACTGCCGAGGATGTTTAGACCTAAAGTGACTGGAGTATATCCGTAGATGCTTTCGAGGGATCTGTTCACGTGCTGATCACTGTTTACGTTTAATGTCTTTCTTCAGCGCCCAGAGCTTACATGCGATTACATCAACTACTCCTGTTCAAGGTCTTTATATAATAAACTTGTGCCCAACGCCATCGACTGCTCCCGTCCGAGATGTTTGCCAAATAAATTTGCGCTAATTTCACCGGACTATAATCCTTTATCAGCCCGAGCACATCGTTTCCGTTCGGTGTGTTAAATAATCTTGTGCAGTTAATTTCACCGGACTATATCGGTTAATCCTCCCGTAAAGTCATTTCCACCTATTGATGGTGTTTGCATAGTCTGTCATTTTTTCCCAAGAAAGGGTACGTATACAGTATATTACTCTAAAAACTACCTTGCTAAACTTGAATTGCGAGGCGAGCATCCTCCTAGATGCATCAGATTCTCCGCTCTTGAATTGTCATAAGGGAATTTCCTCTCAGAAGTGTTACTTAAGAAGGTTGGCGCCAACCCCAACCCCCCCTCCCTTTCCTCTTCAATGAAAATTGGCGTCAAGTAGATTGACCTGTACCTCCTGCGCAACGCTGAGATAGTCCCTCTTATAAAAAAGCTGGCTAATGTATTACAAAGGAATTAAATCGATTATGTCAGTCAAACAGACTCATGCAATTAGTCCATAGTCTCTACAGATTTCAAAACATTTCTGAAAACATGCCTCGAAGCACTTACGTAGACACACGAGCAGTGTATGCTGTGGCACCATCCTGTTGAAAGAAAAAACATTTTCCAAGTTAATTCCCAGCCTGTGCAGTTCGGGACGCAAGAATGTGTTTAATTAATATGTGACAGTAACGTTCGGCATTGACTGTAACGCCTGTCCCATTCTCGTCCTCAAAAAACTAGGGACCAATGATACCGAATGAAGATGCTGCACACCAAACCGTTACACGCTCTGCGTGTAAGATTTTTTCGTGAATTACACGGAGATGTTCATCGGACCAGTACCGCAAATTCTGTTTATTAACATCCCCATTCAAATGGAAATGCGACTCGTCAGTTACGATAATCACAGCATTCTCATGGTCTTCCAAAAACACTTGCATTCGAGAAGCAAACTCCTTCCGTTGCGCATAATCGCTTTCGTAAAGTTTTTGAGCAACACACATTTTGTATGGATGAAACTTTAAGTCGTGATGTCCCAACGCGTGTTTACGAGCAGAGCGCCCAGCACTATGAGTTACGGCAGCTCTCACGCTCAATGCTTTCTGATGCTCTTGCCATTCTTGTCGGACCTGGGGACTTCTTTTTCAGAATAGATCTTGTAGTGCGTAATTTCTTATCCCAACTAAAAATCGTGTTGCGGCTGGGAATGGCATGATGATGCCTTCGCTGGGAATGCACAGGAAATAGTCGCTGCACGGTAGTAACCGATCCACCATTTTGCACACATGCGTCATACGCAAACATCGATGCTCCACTGTTCACTGCTCCATACCTACTGAAACGGCATCCAATCGGGAGCTCAATGCTCGATAATTCCGTTCCCCACTCCTCATACCGGCTATCCCAAAAAGTCGGGTTCCCGTGTGTCACCCTGTATATTTGCAATCAAAGATGGAGTTCGCTAGTTGAATTGTCCAGTACGCATATATCGGCAAATATAGGGGAGAATCTATGATGTGTGAAATATGTCTAATAGGTGTGTAGAATTAGAATTAGCTCTTTCGTCCTTAAAATAGTAGCAACTTTGTGTGAAAATTTCATCATAATCTGAGTGGTACTAAAGTTATAGACGGGTCAAGGATAAGCGGACAGACAGATCGTCGGAAATGAGTGACATGTTTTGGGATGTACGAGTATATGTCATATACCATAAAAAAAATACAATATCTCATTTTCGAAATTTCTCGCGTCTGCAATACTTTCTCGCCCAGTTAGTCTAATCATATTAGACGAAAATACCGCTGGTTTGCGAAATAATTGTAAAGTCTGGTTTTATTGATGCAAGTTATTTAAGTGGGTATTTAAAACATGGACGCATAAAATGGGTATACCAATTTTTGTGGGAAAACTTTTTATTCGTCAACAATGAGAAAATGTGTTTTTTGAGATTCAATCGAACGTGTTGACAGGAACGGAAAAACTCCAAATAAGATGTTTAGGTATTTATGAGACCACACGTAAAAAAAATCCGATTAATAGTAAAAAAGTTATGGCCGAAAACCGAGGCAAGTTGCAGGTTTTAGCACTTGTTGGTTATGCGACAATAGTTTCACGCAGGCACTTGAAATTCTTCAAATTCTTAAGCTTCATACTTCTAAATACGATAACAAAATTAGAGTCGATTGGTCAAGTAGTTTTTTAGAATTTCTAATTTTTTATCCCCTTCGTTTTTCGCATAAAAATAACAATTATCTTTCGGAGTAGATTGTGATTCATGTCGGCAAGGTAAACTCATGTATTTCGCTATAAAATGCCCTTTGAACCAACCCGGTATATTGCTCAGTAAACTAGTAGTGATGGCCGGAATGCAGGTGTTTTGGGACAAACAATTAGAAATTCTCAAAAACTACTCGACCAATCGACTCCAATTTTGTTGTGGTTATTTAGAAGTATGAAGCTTACGAGCTTGAAGAATTTCAAAGTGCCTGCATGAAACTATGGTCGCATTACCAACAAGTGCTAAAACCTGCATCTTGCCTCGGTTTTCGGCCATAACTTTTTTACTATTAGTCGGATATTTTTACGTGTGGTCTCATTCTGTAGGTCTCATAAATACCTAAAAAGCCAACCGATTTGAATAATTTCAAGTAGCTGTGTAAAATTATCGTCGCATTAGCAACAAGTCCCATAATCTGCATTTTGCCTCGTTTTGCGGCCATAACTTTTTTACTATTAGTCGGATCTTTTTATGTGTGGTCTCATTCTGTCTCATAAATAACTAAAAATCTTATTTATTTGAAGAGTTCTCTGGTTCCTGACAACATTTTCGATTGAAACCCAAAAAACACGTTTTATCAGTCTTTGTTATCGAATAAATAGTTGTTTCCACAAAAATTGGTGTACCCATTTTATGCGTCCATGTTTTAAATACCAACTTGAATCAATAGAACCAGACTTTACAATTATTTCCGGGAAATTTGCTAATATGATTAGACTAAGTTGCGTAGGAAGTAAATGATTAGAAAAAATCAGATCCCCCAGACAGATTCCAAGCAGTTGAGGTGGGGAAGCGAAGCCTGGATACTATACCACCTTTTATCCTTTTTGCCGATCCCGTAGTACCAACACTACTATTCCACAAGCCATCTACTGGTAACTGATTTATTAGATCAACCAACTGCAACGATGTTGTGTACCTATGTTGATCATGTGCCGGTCCGACGCGTAACATTATATCCATAAAAATTAACTTCCGAGGCGGATATTTGAACCGCTGAGCCTTTGAATCGTATAATCAGCAGCTGACGAAGCTGAAGAAACTTCCAAAGTAAATAACACCAGACTATATTCCGAGTATCTAAGCGCCCGCAGTGCGGGTCCAGGGGAGGCATGCATTGACATCTTGTAGACAAACATACGAAAACTTTGCTTGGTAATCATTTTAATTTAAAAATATGATAGTAAGAAAAACAATATCTATCACATGGTCATAATATAAGAAAATCAGTTGTAGGTATTTAAACTACCTAAAAATTACACAAAATGCACCTAGTCATTATAAAGAAAACAAGTCGAAGTAAGCAAAAAGGGTAGAAAAATACGCTCAACCCCTATCATTCCAAAGAGCTAAGCCATTGATTAACGTAAAAACATATGAAAATTTGTCAAATGTAGGTTTCAGTCCTCAGCAATAGTTAGTTGGCTATAGCAACATCTATGAAAAAAAAATCTTTTTAAAGTAGATTTCTGATTGTTGTGGAGAGGAAAAAAATATGAGTACCTGTGACACATTCTCATAGATGTCGCCAGGATATCTCATTTCATCTCAGACAATTTTTTGAACATCACAATGCATGGTTGGGTATCTTCAGGTAGAATATGTTAATCCAGGCCTCTCCAACTCGAGCACTTGATGCTGGTGCGCTCCGGTGCTGGACCCAGCGGTACCGGTGCCGTTCCCCCTCCACCTTGACCGCACAGCCGTCGCGATGTTTTTTAGCGTCTTAACGTGCATATTTTTTTAAACGATGTCATTCAATCCTGTATTTATTATATATATATTTTTTGTAAATACTGATGGAAAAGCAAAATGATTAATTTGTCACATGGTATTGAGGCCAGCCCTTCTAAGTTCTAAAGAGGTAATTATTAATTTGGTCGTAGTTGATTATTATTAATGGTGTCGTAATGTAATGCAAGTTATATTGTTGCTTTGAAAATTGCAAAAAGTGGGAGACCGTTTACTGAAGGTATTATTATTATTGTGTTACGCGCTGGTTAAGCTGCACAAAAGTGCTAAAGATTTTTTTAAAATCATTGACGACGTTGAGATGTTTATGCAAATGAGATTTTTACGACGCCATCTTCAGTGCTTTTCGAAACAGAACCGCCGCAGTTCCAAATGGAGCTGATTAAGCTTCAATGCGATACGATCCGTAAGGATAGATACTACCACTACAATAGTAATTTAATTTCGTTTTATCAAGGTGTTAAGTCGGAAGATTTTCCCAAAATTCTTGCACTGGCCTTGGAAACTTGCTCTATGTTCGGTAGAACCTACTTTTGCGAGCAGATGTGAATTTGAACAAAACTAAAAACAGGTCTTTGTCTGATGTGTCCTTAGAGGCGACACTCAGAATTTCCACTGCTCAAGCCACTGTACCAAATATTAGAAAACTTGTTGAATCGAAACGCTGTCAAAGATCATCTTAAGAATAAATGTGTTTACGTCGAAATTATGCACATTATTTTATCACCCGCGCGTTGACTCGATCAGACCAATTCAAATGTCAATACGAATGTCACTCCACAAACTTTATCGCGGATTCGACTAAACTTAGTAATAATATGTAGTTTCAAAGTAAATGAACAAAAAGGGCTTGGTATTCCGATGAAAGTACCTGTCATATTGACTTGAAGATACGTGACGGTAGGATTTTACCATAACCTTTACGTATATCAACGGTCATGACGTTTCATATTCATTTTACATATACTTTCAAACATCTAGTAGCCTAGTGTCAAACTGACAGACTCAAATGATCATTTAAATGCAAACATGAAGCATACAAACAGGATGTATTATTTTTATCTATTTGCATTGCCTGCTATAGCTTTCAGTCGGTACGACAGAAACTTCTGGCGGAAATCAGTTTGTCATACCATGTTTTTCCAAATGAGCCTAAAATTTCCATCAAACCTTGTAGGCTTCATTGGATTCGGTGATGACGCTGAAATTCTCTTGTCACGCTGTATCTTTAAGTCGGTATGACAGGTACTTCTGGCAGGATGCGCCTTACTGAGCTCTTCTTGTTCATTCACTTAAAAACTACATATTATTACTAAATTTAGTCGAATCCGCGATGAAGGTATACTCAATGCCCACAGCTTCCGGGTCATTTCTATTCGCAGTTTGCTACGGTTAGCACAACACCTTCCTCGCGATGCGTATGCTGCTGCCTAATCCCTCCCCCACCTTCACGGAGTCACCCCGCAGCACTGTGCTGCGAGCGGTGCTTGGCGCTGCACTGGTAGCACCTAAGTTGGAGAGGCCTGTGTTAATCAATGACTGAACGTAAAAGTAATGACTCCAAAACATTCTTCCCTGGTACTGTACCATCAGGTGCTAAGTAAATGGAGACAGACTTGCAAATAAACAGCTAAACAAACATTACTAAAGCTGTATACTCAGAAACCATAATCATCAAAAAAAGGTCTTCATTATGAATCAGTATACCAGTGATTCTGCCCACTATAACAAAAAAATAAAATTGCAGACTAAATGCAGGCATCTGCCACACTAACCAAGAGTTATGTGAATATGGTCACTCAAAAAAATCAAATTTCTGCAAACTATGTTAAAAATTATCTGAATAACATGTGAATTCCATAAGGTGAAAAGTAAAGTTGAATAAAACTTTTTAATAGGTCCAAAAATACACCTCTCCAAAGAAGAACTTGAGTCAGCACACTAACATTTTTCAAACATTAAACATCCCAGGAAGAGCTTAATTACGTTAAAAAACGTTTCTACAACGCATTTTACACACAAGAATGTTGTTTCTGCGTCATTTTGTAACGATACAAAAACGTCGGAGCGTTTGAACGAATTCATACAACGTCAAACATAAGTTTGAGTGGCGATCCTATCTTCCTGTTTTTGAGAAATGGTCGCGTGGGCTGCTAAATCTACATTGCTTGTCACACTTTACCATGCATCATATACCTAAACATAACTTCTACTTATATACACCCTCAATCCAACTAAACTACAAACCGAAACGTTAAAGGTTCAACTTTCTCCTGTAAAATGGGTTAATCGGTGAAATGTTCAACGGACTCTTCAACAAAGGCTTTGTAGGTTTTTTACTCGCGTCGTACGGAATTCTGGGCGAACTTTTCACTTGTATATGGTGTTCATACACTTCCTGAGAGGTGTTCAGTCTCGTATTAAACTTCACTTTCTTTGACGATGAACCACTCGGTGTTGTAGGAGATGATGCCATACTTTCCGTTCTGGAAACCCTGGATATACTATTCATTGTAGTGTTCAACATCGTCTTGTGTTCATTATCTAACTCCCGAGACGTTTTGCTACCATTCTTATTCATCTTTTTCCTTAGATGTTTCTTAGAGGGTATCAGAATCTCATATTCGCCCTCTTGGAGAGGTTTGTCCCACTCTGACTCTGGAAAGGACGAGGGCTTTTTTGTGGGAGATTTTTCGGGACTCATTCCTAACAGCGAAGGTTTCGATTTGATGGTGTCAAAAAGATAACTGAATATTTGTCGTTTTATTTCTGCAATAAAGATAAAAAATAAATTACAATTTTTATTTGAGAAAAGTAGTGAGATGAAACCTACCCTACGCATATTCTGAATGACCAAAAAATAGTGACAGACGAATTTTTACAAGCAAGGCTTTCAGTACACCATTCGGTATCACATGACATTAATTGTGCGTCTTAAGCCGCGTACAGACCGAAAATCCAACGCCGAGCAAACAAATGCAAGCACATGTGACGTTGGCGTTTGTTGTTGGAAGGTATTGGAATGCGCTCGTCTTCACCTAAATTTATTTTCGGGCTGGACCGCGTTGGGTTAAGTTCGGTGCTAATGTCGAGCGACGAGTCTTCTCTCACCGAATGCAGACAAACGACTAAATACTACAAGCGCAACAAATCCTGTCCAGACCAAATCAAACCTCCCTTTGATGTACCGATCAAAGAGCTAACGCAATCGCTACCTTTTAAACCATTGATTTATGTTGGCTCGCGCCGTACACACCAATTCGAACACATCCAAATCTGTAACCACATGTGCCTTGGCTTGCGTTGGAATCCCGGTCTGTACGCGGCTTTAGAAACGTACACTTTTTTCAGCCTATAAGGTTAGTGGCAAACATCTCCAACTATACGTATATGCTAAAGGCGACTTCACTTGTTCCTAGTAGCTACTGCTGACCGTGATATACAATTTGCAAATCGTTGCTCGCGGGTTTTTAAGGGGTAAAACCACTGTAACGTTTGTTTTTTCGTGAAAGAAATGCTAATAAAATAATGATAGGACGTTAATAGCATATACTCGTATTCATGGAAAGTAACAAAAAAGAAAATTATCATAAAAAAATGGTGTCAGGTAAGTTGACTGCACTTCCTACGCAACACTGTCATCAGTTCATAAAGGGCCAGTTCCCAGTAAACCTACTGAGAAAAGAATTAAGTTATGAACATGTACAAGAGGAATCAAACGGATCAAACCGGCCCATACAGTTAGTCCATAGACAATCTTTCTTCTTCACTTCATCACTTTTTTAGGCCATTGCAGTGATGTTACCCCTTAACAGAAATGTAGGGATATTCTTAGGTAGATAGAGGTGGTCATGATGGCTTGTTTGATCTACAGATTAAATCTCATTCTGTGGTATTTGAGAGAATTCGGTGGTGTAAGAGAATAATATATGAGACTTGTACTCTATCTGGAGGAAGTAATTTTGAACAGTTTTCATAGATTGCGAAGCTACATATTAGGTTTTTTGTTAAAAAAAATTGTTTTGTTCACTCTAAATCTTTGAGATCTGTACTACAATTCGTACAGTCAAAACTAACAACTGAAGAATACATAACACTGTAAAATGAACTCAAGTGGCGGAAGTGTTCAGTGTTACATAAATCAAAACCATACATGAGCACACAATATTACAGGGTTTTTTAGAAAATGTAGAAATTTTGCATTTGCTCACTCCTACAAACTTACCAATCTGAATCTAAACCTATCGACATTTACATAATTCCATAATTTATAATGTAAAATGTCCTTATAAATTAGGGATTAAAGGATTTTCGAAATAATTACGTTCATTATAGCAAGCATTATTTATTAGAATAATTTCATAACCAAATAATATGAATATGCTCACTAACCAGATTGGATCTCTGAACCCTCTATCACTGGCTCCTCACAAATAGGCTTGATATTTGAGTCTATGCAAGTGTTCAGTGATTTGTTTTTAGATCTGAGTTTACATCTTGTTAGGGGAATCACCAAACTATCCCCACCTTTTTCATTACGCTTTTTCATTTGCAAACTTTGCTGTACTCCAATATTGCCATTTATTTTCTTCGATTGCAAACTCGGCTTTTCAATGACTTTGTCCACCTTTTTCAATTTGGATGTACTACCTAAAAACAATAATTTCAGGATTCAGCAAAATGGTGACAAAAACGCTGTTAAAAATAAAAGATAGTGTTCCTAGGGAGCCATATATTTTATATGTTATTCATTTCGTCTGTAAACCATTTCACAATAAAAAAAAAAAGAAAATTTAACAGACATAAATTAATGTTCGTACAAGATGGCTTTACGTAACAATGTTTAGGAATTACAATCACACTACATTTAAAAGTCACAAATTACACAAATTAAAAATATATGTGTGGCGGCCAGGTTCTAAAAACATTATAGGAAATAAAAATAAATATATATATATATATATGTATAGGACATATATATATATATATATATATAGGACATATAAATATATATATATATACGACCACGTCTCAAGTTATATATACGAGTATATATATAAAGGGTGTCTCAATAAGAGCGCCGGATTGGATTTTCAAGAAAAACACCATTTTTTTTTTCGAATTAAGCGAGTATTTATATTTATTAGGTTAAACATTACATCCGGTAAATAGCCACCTCGAAACCACTAGCACAGGGTCAGTCTTTTCTTAAAATTCTGAATAACATTTTCGTACAACTGTAGCCCTATTTTGTCGATAACGCGCCATATCTTTTCTTTAAGGCGTTCAACTGTTTGTGGCTTGTTCGCATACACTTTTTCCTTCACATATCCCCAGAGGAAGAGGCCTATTGGCGTTAGTTCTCACGTTCTTGTTGGCCAATTTTGATCGCCAAACCAAGAGATGACACGGTTGGGAAACTTGGTACGCAGTTGCACCACAAAAACTCGGTTAACATTTCGCGACACCGCACACCATTAACAATTACGGCTGTTTCAGCTGCATTTTCGAAGTAATACGGTCCAATCACTCTGCCACTCCACAATGCGCACCAAACGGTAACTCGCGGCGGATGCATTAGTTGTTCGATTATTTCACGAGGGTTTTTCAGATTCAGGAGCTCTGCTTATTGACGTATCCGTTCAGTTGAAAATGTGCCTCATCAGAGAAATGATTTTCTTCGAGAAATCCGCATCAATTTGGTGGTGCTCCAGAGCCCAATCACCGAATTCACGGCGTTGCGCATGGTCCGTTAGCATGAGTTCTTGCGTCAGTTGGACCTTGTACGCATGCAAGCACAGATCTTTTGGCAAAATTCGTGGGTCTGGTAAGGTTCAATTCTTGGCCACGATGCCGAATGGAAGTGCATGGATTCTCGGCCACACTGTCGCGCACTGCGACTATATTTTCGAGGGACCGACCAGGACGGCGACGAGCAGTGGTCTTCACATTCAGCAACGTGAATTTTGTCTCAAATTTTGTAATTAAACGGCGAACTGTCGACTCATTTGGCGCATTATTGCGACCGAAAATTGTACGTAATATGCGAACTGTTTCTGCCTGATTTTCTCCATTTTTGTAGCGAGTTTTCACAATAATTAAACGTTGCTCATTTGAATACTGGTCCATGACGTCTAATCGCTTGGTCTGGACATGACAGCTGTCATCAAGTAAACACCATACCATTTGTACAAAAAAAAATGGCGGCAAATTCAAATCCGGCTCTCTTGTCGAGACACCCTATATAGATCAGCATTATAATTTACATAAGAGATGAGCCAATTCCGAACAACTCGGAGCAATCAATTATACCGTTTAATACTTTAAAAATAAAAAGCACATGTTCAAAACCTTCTATCTTCAAGCACACAATCCAGTTATCGTCAATCTTTAAATGTTTATTTCCCTGCCCCATTCTAGAACGTAGATACCTTAAAAACTTATATTGTATGGCTTCAATGCATTTTTTGTGAATCTCATAATATGGGCTCCAGATAGTTTCCCCATATTCCAGTAGCAATCTTACTAATGAGACAAAAAGCTAGATCTAAGGTCCCCTACATGTTCATGATATCAGCTCCACAATGTGATTAGCTTTGTCAATAATATAGTGGTGGTCATCTGTAAATCTTGCCTTACGATTGAGGTAGATGCTTAGGTCTTTGATTACATTCACTTTAGGTAGTGTACTGCCATGTGAGTATACTCAAAACAGCTCCTATCACGAGTAAAAATGATATAAGAACATTTAGAGGCCTGTTATTAAATATGTAGCATTATTTTTCTATTGAAGTCTAACAAAGAGAATACTTACTTTGCTGTAGTGTAGGGGTTTTCTCAGACTTGTCACAGTCTGTAACATCAAAAACTACCCATGTCCCTGAATTGCGTTCAAAAACACACTCAATATCATCGAGAAGGACTTGTGTCTGTATCTCAGACAGTTTCTTTGCTTTCTCTTTCATTTGAAGTATTTTACTTTTATCCTTAATTTTGATCTCAACATCTTCATCCAAAGCAAACTTTTCATAGCCTTTTTTTGTTTCACCAATGTTGTTTTTCTTGTGCTTTTTTTTATCAGACTGTTGTTGGGGAGCCTGAATTGCCTTCTTAGACTTTCTATTCAAAAACTTTGCTTCTTGATCATCCATATTAAAGTGTTCTAATGCTACTTCACTATCGTTACTTTGTTTATTCTTTTTGTCACTGCCTTTAGAACTTTTACTGTCCTTTTTAGACCTCTTCATCAAAGGCTTGTCCATCTTTGTCACCATCTTTGCTATTTTCTTCTTTCTTTGACTTTTTAGGAGCAAACTCGCCATTTTCGTCAATCGCGTTTTTCTCCCTCTTCCTTTTCCTGTCTTTTCCTAACAATTTTTGTTCAAATTTGACTAACCTGTTGGTTGCTTTACGAATGCTCATGTCATATTCATCTTTTTTCCTATCCACAACTTTTTTTACCCCCAAAGGATACACTCCTTTTGCTATTTTATTAAACCTAAAAAAGATAAAGTACATCACTGTATAAAAATTAGCAAAGGCAGATACAGTCCAGTAAAAATATGTAAGCACATTATTCATATGTAGAATCATAACTGAGTGTAATAACTTACTGTTCTGCTAAAACAGTGAGCATATTTCTAGCTTTAGTTGTACTATTTTTATCAAATTTGTGTTGCAGTAAATTGCTTGCTATTGTTTTTGGACTGAACCTCAACTGAGGTATTTCCACATCAACTCTTCCTGCTCTCGGATCTAGAGGTTTATTTCTTTTTTCTTGTTCATCTTCATCTGCAGACATCATTTCATCATCATCTAATGGTATTTTTTGCATAGAGTCAATTGATCCTGGGAACCCTTGCTGAAATAATAGTTGAAAAATCAGCTTCAGTACATAAAAAATATCACATAAGAATCCATATACTGGGGGCAAATATACTGTTTGCCCTTGAGTTTTCATAACGTGAATGATAATTTGCCAGCACACAAAAACGTAGTCAGCACATTTGATCTGACCCACCTTCCAAGATGTAGGTCTGTTCGGTCCGCATACCATTAAAATTTCAAGTAAATTGCAAAAAACTAAGAATGGCGAATATCTAAAAAAATCGCAGTAATTGGGATGAGAAAAACTGTACAGACCTCGAACAAAAGTTTTCTAATTTAATCTAATTTGAGTAAAGTGCAAAAACCCAAAAAAATGATGATGAAAATGATCAGAAATAAGAATTTTTATTACATAGATCGGAGTTACTTCTTGTAATAATACGAGGCTTGTTCAATAAGTACCCAGAGGGCATTGCTGAGGGAATTTGGTGTGCTGCCATCTATCAAACAGCGACACAACAAATTTCAGACTGATTGATATGTTAGTTTGGATTTGGCAGCCATTTCAGTAACACGTGTTTCGTGGTTTTCGCTAAGATGGAAACAGACAGTATCGTTAGGTAATTCGCTTTTTGTTTTTGGATGGGAAAAATGCGAGGAGATAAAAGCAAAGTTGGACGCTGTTTATGGGGACACTTCGCCAGCTATGACCATAGTTAAATTTTGGTTCAGCGAACATCCGTTTTTGATGAGAAGCAACCAGGACGCCCGGCAGACGTGGTTACCGAGGAAATCATTCAAAAAGTCCACGATATGATTCTCGCTGATCGACAAACAAAAGTGCGCGAAGTTGCAGATGAAAAAATTGTCGGCCCGATGAGTGCCGCGATTGCTCACCGTGGACAACAAGCAGATGCGGCTGTTAACTTCGAAGCAGTGTTTGAAGCAGTTTAAGCGAAATCCGAAGGAGTTTTTGCGTCGAGTTGTCACGGTTGATGAAACCTGAATTCATCTTTGCACACCAGAGACTAAGCAACTATCAAAACAATGGATTTCTCCCGGTAAATCTGCTCCAAAGAAGGCGAAGGCGGTCCCATCGGCCGGAAAGGTCATGGCGACGATTTTTTGTTATGCGAACGGCGTCATCCTCATGGATGTTTTAGAAAAACGAAGAACGATCACTGGACAATACTATAGTGATTTATTGGACAGCTTCGACAAAAAATTGAAGGACACACGGTCAAATTTGGCGAATAAGAAGGTGCTGTTTCACCACGGTAACGCACCAGCACATTCATCCGCCAAACTGCATGAATTGCGTTATGCCGCACCCGATCTGGCCCCCTGCGACTCTTTCTTGTTCCCTAACATGAAGAAATGGCTCGCGGGAAAAAAATTGGCTCAAACGAGGAAGTCATTGCCGAGACAGAGGCATATTTTGGAGAGTTCGACAAATCCTATTTTTTTGGAGGGGTTAAAAAATGGCAGGAACGTTGGGAAAAGTGTATCTTTCTAAAAAGGGTCCATGTTGAAAAATAAAAAGAAACTGATGGAAAAAATGGTGTCATTTCTAACACGGGTACTTATTGAACCGCCCTCGTATACTCTGCAGAAGTAAATTTACCCACAAATGAATAGCTGTATTCGCTCGATGATGATAGCTGAGAGCTTGTACATAGAGCGCTGTTACAGGCACAATCAGGTGTCCATATAATACACACATGTACCTATTCCAGAGAGCGGTTCTTCGCAATTTTCATAGTGTGTGGGACAAGCAGACCTCAAATTCGGATTCAGACCACTTTTCACTTTCTATGCCACTGAGCGAGGAAGTCTCGCAATCGCGAAAAAATTCGAAAATGAGATATTGTGTTTTTTGGATGTTATATGGCATGTAATCACGAAAATCCATGTCACTCATTTCCGTCGTCTCACTAATCATTCTGTTTATTACTTGACAAGCACCACTCAGATTTTGTTAGAGAAAAAGCCAAAAACGAAAGCGATGAATATTGCGTAAACTTCGGTTTCTGACATATCAGGACCTTAATCATTTTTGGAAATTGCTTAGGGGTAAACAATTGGAGGATGGTGGGTTGTAGAGGAGGGAGGGTGTATTGAAATTTTTGATGTTAGCATAATAATACACTTCCAACCCCGGTAATTCAACGGACCTATTTCATACATCATAGATTTCCCCCTACATTGGCCATTGCCTGTGCTGTATTGCCACATTGGTACTGTTTGTAGGGCGGTATGCAAGATTGCCAAATGTTTTTAAATCTGTGGAGACAATTATTGACTAAATTGTTCCTTTTAATTCCTTTGTCATAAATGTTCATAGGCAAGTTTTTTCTAAGAAGAACTAACTTGTGTTTTTTGTGTGCTGGTTTATGATTTCCTTCTTCAGCTACTGTACCTGTTTCCATGCATCATATTTTGCTTGATATTCAAAACCTAAATCAGACTGTCTGATTAAATATGTGAAAATGAATTTCCTTATGTGGGCTATCAGCCTGCCATCACCAGTTGTAGCTAGTTTTTCTATAAATGGTTTAAGGAATAGACATACTTTTTCTGGATGTATTTTACCTTCAGAAACCTGAAACCACAATAAGCTCACTTCACAAACTACACAGAAAAATTTACAAAAATTAGCAAAATAGAAATTGTCTCTAGTTCAAATAGTAAATATCCCATAATAGATCTTAAACTTCTATCACCAACTAGTAATAGATTAGTTGTTAGGGTAAGAAATAAATAGATGTGTAACATAAAACTTACCTTTGCTAATTCTTCCATGAAGATTTCAATAAAATGCATTAATAGACTTAAAGCAGGTGCACCACATGGAATTAGAATTGTCGATGATAGCACACTATTGAACATCTCTATATCTTTATGGGCAAAAGTATTTTTCTTAAGCACAAAAAGGGCTTGTCTCAGTAACCTCCTCACCAACTACAATGAAACAATCAATTCTTTCAGAAAACTAGAACAAAATTGGATTAGGAGCAATTAAACTTAGTATAAGGGACCATTCAAGTATTATGTAAGCACTAAAGAGTGGCGGGACGGATTTTGATGACATAGGAAAATGGGGGGCAGATCTTGATTTTTTAGACATTAAATGGTATTCATAACATGTGCGCGGGCAAATACTTGTTTGAAATTGTGAAATATACCAAAATGTTTATGCAAGCATGGGAGGGGAAGGTGTTGCTTATTTTGCTGACAAGAGGGAGGTCAAGTTAATAATTGTAAAAAAAATATCCTTACATAATACTGCCCCTCAGTGGGCTGTTTCAAGTATAGCACAACAAACCGACCCCACATATAACTGTAGAATCAACAAAAATAGTTTTTTAAGAATGTTGGCTGGAATCCACATCAATTTCCATTCACCCACAACTTACATGACCAACAAACACTATACTACCAAATTATTAAATTTAGTAAACACTAAACTACAAAATTATCAATTTTTTTGATGCTGTATTAGTAGATTTCAGCAACCAGTAGCACAGCTATTGATGGCTGGGTATACATGTTTTTTAAGGGATGCACCAAATTCTGGATACTTGGCTAGATTCAAACGCAGTGTACTTGGCAGGGTACTTTGGAACATTTGATTTTGACATATTCCTCAATATATTCTGATACAAGAGAAACAGCTATGCAAATCATTTAGAAGATATATGCTATATCTTAAACCTACATTTTTGTTAGAACTATTTCTTGCCTATGCAATGTCAGGCTCCATGTTGTTCAATATTCTAGAAATTACCTAATAGATTGGCCCCATGTTCATTTAAATTGAGAAAATTTATAATTTTTATGAAGGTAGTATAACATATTTTTATATAGTATATAGCACATTAAATAAAGCAACTAGCTAATTTAATAGCTCTATGTGCTCAAAATTATGGATTTTATGTATATGAGTTATATTAGCAAATACTAACAATATTCAAGCATACATGATAAACTCTTAAATATATACAGGAACACCAAATTTGTCTGTCAGCTTGAGTTCAATGTGTACAAGAGAGAAGTGCGTATGAACACATGTTAAAAAGAGATAAAAGCCAGCTGAAAAGCAAATGTCATCACCACATTGCCTAGCAAGCACAGGCTTCTACAATAGGTTAGGTTACTGTCAAACCCAAGAAGGAGAACTGCTACCAATTCAGCTTTAGGAGGAACCAAACACAGGAAACTGATATTCATGTTGCTCTATGACTTTTTCTGGATTTTGTTTACTTTGTTTTATGGTTGTTGGTTGGTCAAAAGAAAGATAAATGAGCAAATCAAAGTGCAGAAAGGTGGTGATTTCAGACTGAATCTACAATTATTTCACAACAATATCAGTTTCTGGCGATCAGACTGAGTAGTTACCTGGCTGAGTAATACTCAAAACTAGGTACTCTGTGAAATGGGGCAAGCACTGGGTGCAAACTGAGCACTTCCTGCACTCCTATTATAAATGACCTTAATTTCCTTCATATAGAATGGAATAAAAGCATATCTTGCTGCAAATCATCATCCATCGAATATATACCCTATTCCACAAGTATCCATCATGTTTTGATGTCTACTGGGGTGAACAGCTGATCAGCAAGTGACATTTTTGTATTAGTCTGCAATGTTGGCTATAATGAATCAGGTGAAAATCTAGAAAAAATTTGTTTGTAGCATTTTGTTTTTTGTATGCAAATGAACTTTTCTAAATAAAAGAGCTTTTAGCAAGTACCAAATGAATCTGTAGCATACAAAGAATCAAAACAAAATATGGCTGTCCACCTGGCATTGATGGATTCATCAGAATTATGTGTCCTATGCTGATATGGGGAATTTTGAAATACTACTTGATAACCAGTTGTCATAGATACTCCTGAAATAGGGTATGGTCAAACCTGATTCCACAGGATTATCATTTTAGAGACGCAATGACTAAAAATCAACAGATCAAGCTAAGGTAAATTCACCTATTACCGCCCTACTTAAGACTTAACTAAGTTTAGGTATTATTATTTAGAGTTGTATTTATTTTATGGGTATTGTGAAGACTCTGTGCTATATAGTATTTTATTGGAAACAAAAAAATCGAGCTAGCGGTTTATTACCAAAAGCTTGTTTTGAAAAAAATTGAAAAAATAAAATAATGTGGATATATCCCATTAGCGCCCTATACTTCTATTTCTATTCCTATTACCGACTTTTTGTCACCTATTACCGCTTATGGAAATAAAACAAGTAGGTATTTAAATGGGTAAGTAAGTTTACTAACTTGGGTGAAATAAATAGTTACTAAATAAGCACAAAAATAGTTACTTGAAATACAAAAACATGACTACATCTATGAAAAACTAGGTTGACTTTTTTTTAAATTCTTCCATCTTTGGAATGTTATAAATGCCCCTGCTGTTTATTAATTCAGGAGGTTCAATTTTACATAAAATATCTTTGATATCGTAGGTCAATATATCATCTTTTTCCGGCCACTTCCAGTTTGGTCCACTTATTTCCATTGATTTTACAGTTATTCCCGCCATTATTCCATTCTCATCATAACCACAAACAACTCCTGGAAAGAGTTCTCCTTCGTATATTGTTATTACATAGTCTCCAATTTTGTAATTACTTATTTTCTTTTCCACGTTTTTTTTTCAGAATTATCTTCAGGATTTAATTTTCTTCTCTTCAGCAATTGATTTGTTACTTTTTTAATTTTTCTTTGTTCTTTCTCATGTTGCTTCTTTTCTTTTTCCGCCTCGATTCTTCTCTGATACCCCATGAATTCATCTGAAATTGCTACTACTGGCGTAATTTTTCTCGTAGCTCTTTTCTTTGCCGAATCTTCAACTTTCTTAGGGAAGTAAAAAGCGTTTTTAAACGGCGTTGATACTTTAAAGCACACAAGTTCTTCTGCGGATTCACCTACTGGCAGCATGGGGTTTTCTTTCGGTTTTTCGGTTGTGGCCACAACATCTAAGTTTGTGTCGTTTTCACTAGCGTGTTCTTCAATTAAAATATTATCGTGAGGTAAGATTTTCACAGGTGATGTATCCGGGGTATTATAGGTTTTTTCTATTGTTTCAGTATATTTAATATTGCATATTGAAAGTTTGCCGTCTCCTTGAATTTCTAAGTCGATTGTATCCCAGGCATTTTCGTCAAAGTCGCTGATATTTTCGGTAATATTATTTATGATTGTGGTGTCATCTAAAATCATATCCGTTTCTGCACTTGGTTTATTCTGAAGAGACTTCCAGAAAACGAATAGTTTTTCATAGGTGAGATCTCCATTCCATATATCGCCCGAAGACTTGAAAAATTCTAGTGTTGCTAGAGGTAGCCGAGCCTCCAGCTGTTCTTTAAAATGATGATCTGTCTGACCTGTTACATTTTGATCCTGTGTATTATTACAAACTGGTCTTGCTGCTCTTGTATATATTTTTTCATGAGCTTACTGTAATTAATACTTTCGGGGTTAAAGGGGAAAAGGCCACAGCATTCAAATCCCTTCTTTATAGTTTCTTGTTTAAGACATTTTTCAAAACATGCTTTAACCAAATTTGAAAAATCGCTTCTTCTGATTTTTGCTCCTTCGTTTTTAAATCTAAAATCATGAACCACATTTCGCCACGTGGCTTTAACTGGTCTAAAAACGGCCACATCTAATGGCTGTAAAATGTGGGTAGAATTAGGCAAAAGTGCGACTAATACTATCCCCTTCTCCTTACAAAATTCACTTAAGGCTAAAGATATGTGGGAGGTATGACCATCAAGAAATAAAGCCACTGGAAACTTAGATTTTGCAGCCAGGGGTAAAAAACATTTGCAACGTATTCATAGAAAGCCTCTGAATTCATCCAGCCACTCTCTGTATAGCCTAAGCCCCAGCGCTTAGGAACAGTGTACGGTATAAATTTTGGTAATTTTTTGTAGGGGAATATTACCATAGGAGGAGCTGGTGAGCCTTCAGCAGACACATTTGCAAGAACAGTTAGACATTCTTTTTCGTCGTTTGCTACCCGGTTATAAACAAGCTTGGTTCCTCTCTAACGACAACTTGCTTTTCTTTTGGACACAAAAAGAAAGCCGACTCATCACAGTTAAAAACTCTAGAACCATCCTCAAGAATATCCATAATATTTTGGCTTCTAAAATATTCTTCAACTATTCTGAACCAGTTTTTAATAGCCAATTCACTTCTACTTGTAGTAAGGTTTTGCGATACACGTTTGGAAATTTCAGGATGTCGGTCCATAAACTTTTGAAACCAGTGGTTTCCAGGCTTACCATCCTTAAATGGATTTGGACGTTGTAAAATTTTCACCAGGTTTGAAATGCTTTCTAGTAACTGTGACTTCGTGACTGGAAAACCTAGAGCTGCTAGATGGACAATCCATTCAACAATTGTTCTTTCTTCGTCTCTAGAAAGAACCGGCTGAACTCCACACTTTTCATTTTTGTACTTTCCATCACGTTTATCTCTAAGAGTTGTTTTTGGCACGTTAAAAGTTTGGGATGCTTTATAGACAGACATTCCATTATTTAAGGCTTCAAGAGCTCGAGATAGCTAATCTTTTGTATATTTAACCCGCATTTCTGCAGGCATATTTCTGAAACAAAAAGGACGGTAATTGGTAAAATGTATAGACCTATAAACCTATTACTGACCCAATAGCACGATATTAAATTATAAATCTTTACCACTTTTTCTTTTGCCAGTCTGATGAAATAAACAAAAAAATTAAGTACACACTTTTTCTGTTGAGGCCGAGTCAAGTTAATATCTTTCTTGAGCACTATTTTATTTGAAAAAGTTAATTTACTCAGAAAGTATTTTTCTAATTTATGTAAAATAGTAATGCAAGCGAAGTAACTGAATTAAAATATTAAGATCTAGAACAATAAATTCATAGGTCGGAAATAGAAAATAAGATTTTTTAAAGAGCAATCTCCCTAAAGAATTGGTTTTTATGATAATAAATCATACATGTTTCTGAAAATATGCCTAAAAAGACATTCTAAAAAATCCCTAACAAGGATCTAAAGTCGGAAATGGGGAGGAAAGAAAATATTTTTATCTTATTACCGCGCTATTTCTTTCAATCATTTTCTCTAATTACACGTGATATTAACTACTATAGGATATATTTCTAGGGTACAATTTATTGTAAACATCTTACCCAATTTGCGCAAATGTAAAAATTAACTAAACCTTTTCCTAATTTCTACAAAAAGACAGTTTTGCATTCAAAATGCAGGTAGCATTATTTAGAATAATATGGATATAAGAAAGACTGAATTCTACTTTAATTAATAATATTAAGAAGAAGAAGAAATATTATATAGGTCGTAAATAGAAAATAAGATACTTCGCCATGTTAAGTGCAAAACAAGTTAATTTGAAGATTAAGAAAGTAATACTTATTCCAAAAATGTATCCTTATTAAATGCGAAGAATAATCGTAATAGCGATATATAAGGCGGTAATAAGAAAATATGAAAATATATTACCCTATGGCTGCCCTATTGATTTTAAGCAGTTTTCATAAATTTGGTCCAATTTTTTTACTTGAGCCGCCGATCGAACAACGGCTAGAAATTTCTTCTCAGTAGCACAAGGTTATATAGCACCATGTGCTAGAATTTTCTAGAATGTGTGTCCGTATAGGACAAAAATGATTGGGGCCACCCCCTTTCTCTTTCCCTTTCACTTTGCCTAGCCTTGGCCAATATTTTCACCCATGCATGTACCTTGGCAGCGCCATCGCCTTTAACTTCGCCTACAACTGGTTGTGAAGCCACTATATGGAGGTCACCCCTCATAACTGGGACCTCCCCTTCAAGCCCCTGGCCATCCTGGCTTCAGTCGAGTAAAAATGGACCAGCAAAAGATAAGTCGATAGCGTTATAGCAGCCCCAAAGATGTAAAACTTATTTTGTTATTTTTGTAAAATTGTAATGTAATGAAAATGCCTTTTTTTTTGTTAAATAAAATCTGTTAAATTTTTGTGTTCTGTTTTGTTCTTCTATCCTCTAGCCATGCCATGGTCGACACACAGCTACACGCCTGTAGATGTCTTCATGCCACCGACTGAGCTACCGGAAGCTAATGGTAACCCCCTTTCTGTGATTGTGCAGAATAGTTGGAATCTTCATTGCATTCCATCTTTTCTGGACTTTTTGCGGAAAGGAAGCGTTACATAAATTGAGAAAAAATGAATATGAACACAATATTTCACTTGAATACTTGCATAAATGTAAATATTTTTATTTTAAAAGCTTAATAATTAACTCATTGATACTTACCTTAACAATCTTTTGCAACACCAAACACTCGACTAAACGAAGGTCATCGACTAACTAACGGTTTTTTGACAGATCTGATTTGAATATATAATTGTTACTGAGCAGGAACGCTTTTACATGTATCAGGTGTCTAAAGCAAGGCAGGAAATTTAAGTAGATCTTGATTTGATCAAATAATTTTGTTGTAAATTAGATGATGGCAAAGTGGTCGGTAATAGGATCGACTTTTTAATGGGTCGTTATTAGGTGAATTTACCTTACTCTGTAGTTTATAATAATGCAACTGGTTAGTTGCCACGCAACACCCATTCTGTGATAACTCAGAACAGTTTTATAAAGTCCTTCTATACCCTATTTCACGAATATCCATCATGTAGAATGACAGCTTATTATTTAGTAATATTTCAAAATTCCCCATAAGCACCGGACACATAATTCTGACAGATCTGTCTATGCCAAGTAGAGCCAAATTTTGTTTTGGTTTTTTGTATGGTACAGATTAATTTTATACTGGCTAATAGCTCTTTTCTTTAGAAAAGTCCATTTCCATACAAAAACAAAACATCACAAACAAGTTTTACTAGATTTATACCAGATTCATTATTGCCAACATTGCAGACTAAGACAAAAATGTCACTTGCTGATCAGCTGAGCACCTCAGAAGATGTCAAAGCGTGTTGGATACTCGTGAAATAGGGTATATGATCAACTTGCCATATTTTCTCCATGCATTAAACTTACCATAAGAAATTTATCTAATCGCAACTGATCTATACCAATCCATTCATTATTCATAATAATCAGCCCTGCTTTAAAAAATAGCAGTGAGGGATTTATGGTTGGAAAATGTATCAAGTTAGCTATGTTTTCCGCGCATTCTTCTTGCACCAGTGGCTTGTCAGACATCCACATGGCATAAAAGAGTCCTTTCCAAATCCTCTGGAAATCGTCTTCTGTGAAAGCTAGAATGAAAATTAACTTTCATAGCAGCTATAAAGTATCCTGTATATCAAAATAATCATAATTATGTAGCATTTCGTTTAAAAATAAAAAAAGAGGTTATACGTACGCATCGTTTCCGACCTCTTGACGAACCATTTTTTAAGGTTTTTTAATGCTTTGTCTCTCGCCGCCTTATTATTTCCTGCTAAGAGCCGTGTTAGTTTTAATTCTTGTGCAACTAAATACACTTTCTTGTTATCTTTTTTACTGTCCATTTTACAGTTTGAGTTTTTGAGCACCGCCATAACTCCCATGCCATTGCCAAACGATAACGGTGACAAAAAGGTTGTCACCTTTCACGCTGTCACTCATTCCGAGTTACTAGGGATGGAAAGTTTCATTCTTTTCAAAGATTCAGATTTGCGGATTTTGATATCATGCGACAGGGCCGGACTCAGCCAAAAACTGCAACCCCACAACCCAAATTCAACTAATATTTATATTTTACTGTATGCGTTTCAAGTGCATTCATATTTTCCGGTCACAAACTCAACCTGTTATCTATTTAAACATTTTATTGAATAAAATACAAGTGTTTTACAAAATTATCAACAATTTATCGTCGTTGTTTTGATGAAAACTCGTATGTGTTTAGAAGCAGTTGTTACAGAATAACTTAAAAACTATCTTTAACCCGTAAGTACTACTATCGGGGTCTCCGGGACCCCTCGTATATTACTAGCGGCTGATTCCGCAAAAAATAAAAGAGTGGGGGTAACGACGCTCTGGCTATGTATTCCAGTGCCAGTGCACCCTCCAACGCGACAGTGAGTGTATCTGCCTGATTTGAACGTGGGCCACAGTGACGTAGCATGGGTCCGTCGGACCCCATAGTAGTCAAAGTGTGATAAAAATAGGTAATGCAGTATTCTATTTCATTATTACTATGATCATATTTAGAGACTAATTATGGAATACTGGGTATAGTATTATATTATACATAAATATACACATCAATAAATCTTTATTACGATGTGATTGCAGAGTTCCATGTAATATTTTTGCATACCTTCAACCTATGACAGTGTTCTTATGATTTTCAGATATAAGCAATATGGCTAAATCATGGAAATCGAAACTATCAGATGATGACTTGAGGAAGATAATAGAGAGTGATAATTTTTGGGATGACAGCGATATAGGCGAAAATGATGAAATCGATGTCAGCGCAAGCGATGAATAAGATACACTTCAACAAATAGTAGATACAGGCGACCAAAGTGACTCTGATGAAAAAGATGTAGAGATACTCAGTCAACATGATTCTGACAGCGAGCTAGAATGGAACCCAAGTGACGATGAGGAAGAAGTTGAATCATCAAAGGTAACAAAATCCAGCATGTATTATTACGGGAAGGATAAAACCAAGTGGTCCATGGAAGCACCAGGACGTACAAGAACTTTGTCCCATAACATCGTAGCTGTGCTACCTGGGCTAAAAGGTCAAATTCGAAACAGCCCACCGCAAACACCGTTAGAGACATGGGAACTTCTTTTCACAAATGATATTTTGGAAATGATTGTGCAACATTCAAATAATAAAATTGATAGCATGAGACGTAAATACAAAAAGTTCAAGACGAGAAAAAATGCAAGAAAGGTATATTCACCTACTTTTATCCATAACACGGACCTTACCGAAATGAGAGCCTTCATAGGATTGTTATACATGCAAGGTTTATTCAAATCAAATCATGAAGACTTGAGATCGTTATGGGCAACAGACGGCACAGGACGCGAAATTTTCAGATGCACAATGTCACTTGCACGTTTTTCATTCCTACTTTGTGCCCTTAGATTTGATGATCCGGCCACAAGGTCTGAAAGAATGAAAAACAACCCACTTGCTGCATTCTCCAATATTTTTGAGATATTTTTTGATAACTGTAAGCGAGTATATTCTCCAGGGATAAATGTAACTGTGGACGAAATGTTGGTGCCTTTTAGAGGCCGTTGCAAATTCCGAATGTACATGCCCAATAAACCGGCCAAATATGCATAAAAATTCAGATATTAGCCGATTTCTAAAACACATTTTGCTGTGAACGCTGAAGTTTATACAGGAAAAACCCAGGTGAAGATAGAACAACGTTTACCCACCCGACTCATGTGTTTTAGTTTGTGGAGCCGATTATAAACCACTAACAGCCAATGTAAACTGGTGATAACTGGTACACCTCATTGAAACTAGCGATGCCTCTGAAAAGTAAAAGGTTTCACATATGTTGGAACTATGAAAAAAATAAGCGAGCGATTCACCCGAATTTCTTCCCAATCGTTCTCAGATCCGTGGATTCTTCGCTTTTTGGATTTAGCGCTCAAAACACAATTGTTTCCTATGCACCTAAACGTGGTAAATCTGTCATATTATTGTCAACACTGCATCACACTGCTTGCACTGATGGAGACCGTAAGAAACCAGAAATAATTCTGTATTATAATGAAACAAAAGCCGGCGTAGATGCTCTCGATGAAAAATGTGCTACGTACTCGACGTCACGAAGAACTCGACGTTGGCCCTTGGTCCTGTTTCATGCAATTCTGAATATTGCAGGAGTTAACAGTCGAGTCGTGTACCAATTTGCGCAAGCAGGTAAAGAAGTATCTCGATATGAATACCTGAAAGAACTGGGAAGGCAGCTATACACACCTCACCCAACGGCTAGAATTTATAATGCAAATGTACCGCGCAAAATCCGAATGAATGCTGCTGACATATTGAGGTTGGCATTTGAAGAACCTACTGAACCTAATGAAATACCAAGCAGGTCAAAAAGACCGAGATGCCGCTTATGTCCACGAAACAAGGATAGAAAGACGAGTAATATATGTTCAACTTGCAAAATACCTGTTTGCCTTTACTGTTCCAAAATAATATGTAACAACTGTATTTGATGTGCTTTATTTCTGTAAATAACTTATATATTAAACATTTTAACTTTGGCAAAAGAATAAATTGTTTATTTCTCGCTTACGGAGTTTTTATGAACAACAATTGAAATGGGTCCGTGGGACCCCATAGTAGCAGTAATGGAATAAATATTGGTTAGTAGTACTTACGGGTTAAAAAATTGGTTTCATTTCCATTCACACTGACTTTTAGTAAACATTACTGGAGTTGCTTATTATGAAACTCTTGTACATCAGATCACAGACCTCATATTTGCCTATACAGATATTCAGAAATCTCCAATGTGGAAAAAATGTCACATAGGAGGTTTCATCAAAACAACGACGATATACAAAAACATTTGGCAAAGTGAAATATCTATTTATAAAACGACAAAATCTTCATCAAACTAAGAATCATTGGATCCATAGTATTTGGTTTTTTCAATATGCAAATAAGTTCTTCCTATCTAAATATAAAAATAATTAACACATACAAATTTACATGTGTCCAATCAAAGACGTCAAATCAAACAGTAATGTACATTATCTATTTAAGCGTTTTATTGAACAAAATACAAGTGTTTTACTATAAACAATATACACAAAAGCATTTGAAAATGCAATACCTATTTATAAAACGACAAAATCTTCATGAAACCAAGAATCATTGAATAGTATTCGATTTTTTCAATATGAAAATAAGTTCTTCCTATCTAAATATAAAAATAATTAACACATACAAATTTACATGTGTCCAATCAAAGACGTCAAATCAAACAGTAATGTACATTATCTCTTTAAACATTTTATTGTATAAAATACAAGTGTTTTACTATAAACAAAATACACAAAAGCATTTGAAAATGGAATATATATTTATAAAACGACAAAATCTTGATGAAACCAAGAATCATTGAATGGTATTCGATTTTTTCAATGTGAAAATAAGTTCTTCGTACCTACAAATTATTTATGATACAACACGTTTTTCCCACATCAGCAAATAGGAAAAATAATATGATCTAATGAATATAAAAATAATGAACACATACAAATTTACATGCGTCGTCAACGACGTCAAATCAAACAGTAATGTACATTATCTATTTAAACATTTTATTGAATAAAATACAAGTGTTTTACATAATTATCAGCAATATATACAAAAACATTTGACAATGGAATATCTATTTATAAAAGGACAAAATCTTCATGTAAACCAAGAATCATTGGATAGTATTCGATTTTTTCAATATGAAATTAAGTTTCGTATCCCCAACTTATTTATGATACAACACGTTTTTCTCGTATCAGCAAATAGGACAAATGATATGATCTAATGGATATAAAAATAATTAACACATACAAATTTACACGTAGCCAATCAATGACGTCAAATCAAACAGGAATGTACACGACACATGTCATATCTTCAACAATAATTTTAATATTTGCGAGATTATAGGAAAAAATTATCCAAAAGTACCTTTTTAACTTTACCTTTAATCAAAGAGAGTTAATTAATAAATATGTCAAACTTGACAGGATCCAAAAATTCAACTTACTCAATATTCAAAGTAAAGATTTCTTTGAGTGAAGATTGGTATAAATAACAGGAGACAATTCACAATTTATTATTGTCCTCTACATTTTATAGCTAGGGCGAAGGCCACTTAAGGTTAAAAACAGACACATCGGGCTTTACCGTCGCGCTTTGACATGTTATCTTTCAAGTCGTTATATTATCCACCAGTCTTATCATAGGCGACCGCAGGAAATCTTATCTGTTGGGCCGATTAGGTATTGGTAAGGAATAGTGATTTGCCGAAAACCAAACGCCACGGCACACTCTTGAGCGAAGCGCTGAATTTCAATTAATTTGCAGTTACACATTTCACGGTTTGCAGGTAGTGACAAGTCTCACTGCACTTCGTATGAAAAGAAATGTCAATGAAAATGAGAAATCCAGTGACGGACACTACAGTTTCTGGAGATGTTTTGAAAAAGTCGCTGCAAAAAATACGCAGACAGATGACGATGTGTTGTACCAGATAGATTTAATTTTTATCTAAACACACTTGCCTAGTCAGAAGATCCTTAAAAGTGGTGGTCTGCAAAACATAGTATCCAAAACTGACTCAACTAGCAAAACTAATCTCTTATCTTCTGGTATCAGTGTATATGTCGTGGCGATATCAAATCGTTTAACGATATGATCAATCAAGCACGAGGCTACAACATCAAATGGTCAACCATGTTTGCAGATCAGAATATTTAAACTAATCACCGACAGAGGCGCTGGCAGCGTTTTGTTTACATTTCAACGTTAATAAAGTTATTTTCAAAGCGAAAATTCCAATAACTAGTCAACAAATGAGGAAAAATGTTACTTTAAAAGACTTTACGACATAAAATTACACGA